TTTCAAAGTCGACAGTGTTTTATAAATATTGGTTTATTAAAAAAAACTAAAAACATTCTAATCTATTTATATTTTGATATCGATTTTTGAATTCTAGTTTATATAGAAAATAAACTATAATTTATACCCAATTGAACTTAGAATTGAAGTCAATATGAATAAGTTTTAAATTACAATGAATGAAAAGGTTTCTACATACTTGAAGATTAATTATAATATTATATAAAAGGATCAAAAAGTTGGGTTGCAAATATGTTTGGTCATTGTTTTAAATAAATATAAGATATAAATTATTTTTATAAATTATTACATTCAAACTTCTCAAGAACAAAAGGGCATAATCATTATTGTTTTTTCAAAAGCATTTTACAGACCAACCAAAAAAGCAGTTCTCAAATAAGCAGCTTTTAATGTTTGACTAACTAAAAATACACATTCTTAAGAGAAACCACTGTTCGGATGTATTACATTTGTGATGTTCGACTGTATTTAATTATCATTATACACCTTTTTTATATTATTTGTGTATTTATTTGGTCAAACAAACATTATAAAAAACAGACTTTATTAGATTTATTCTTTATTACGTTAATTGTTGTTAGAAGACTCAATCAAAAGATGAAGAGAAAAGTGAAAACTAAGGAACGTTCATTGACGAGTGTGAAGTAAGGGTTGTGGAAGACGACTTTACCAAACAATGCATACCGAATAAATTCGTTGAAAGGTAAAACATAATTGAATTCTCAGAGTACAATCGCAGTTTGAAAATTTACAAAACAAATATTTTGTCTAAATTATCATTGTAATAAAAAACAACTTACCGATTTGATTCTATGGACTTGACGATAATAACATTTTATACAACTTTTCTTGTAATATCACATTTCCTTGAAAATGCTTTCTAAATAAAAGTTGTAAAACTAAAAGTATTGGATTAAAATACGTGATGTGTTTTACCAAAAAACACATCTTTGTACATTTTGTAAACGGACAAGGGATTGCCAAAGAAGGCGTGTTGTTTTACAAGAAGCATCCTTAAAGAATGTTCCACGTTGCCAGAAGGTTTACAATTTAGTTGTCGTGTCGGTTGTATGGATGTCTTCATCTTTCGAATATTATTGCCTCCTTTTTTTGCAGCTTAAATCATTATCCGTTCCACTTTAAATTTGTGATTGATTTGTTGATTAATTAAGAGTTCTTTTTTTAAATTTATAAAAAAATTTTAACAGAAAGATAATTTATTTTAGTTATTTATTACTATAAATTATATAATATATTATTATTATTAGCAATTCAAAAAAAATATTAAACTAAATAAATATAGTTCTAATTAGTAATTGAAATTATTTTAAATATACTAATATTTTTTTATTAATTAATTATAAAAAAATAGAAAAATGCTACTTATTTAATTCATCAAAAACAAACTTCAAATAATAAAAATGTTATTAAAAATAACTAATTAATAAATATAATGTTTATATTATAATTATTAATCAAGATAATGATAAAACTAATAATAAACTAATAATAAGAAAGTAAAAAATAAAATAATTGGTACAAAGACCCCGAAAAAATGGACTAAACTGCTTAAAACATCAAAAACTAAAGCATGATATAAAAAGATAAATAAATATTATGAGGGTTGGAATCTTCGAATAAAAGTAACATAAAACAAATAATCTAAATAATGAATTAAACAAAGATGGCAAGTACGTCACTCTTTAAAGTTGTGGTATTGGGCGAGGCAAAGTTTGTTTTTTCTATTTTATTCATATCACTTACAAAAAGTGTCGGTAAAACTTCTTTACTAACTCAGTACATCACTAAAAAATTTTACGAAAAAACAAAGAGCACAGTCGGTGCGGACTTTATCACACACGAGGTAGAAGTCGACGGGCAGACTGTTGTCTTGCAAATTTGGGATACGGCAGGGTCTGAGCGGTTTTGTTCTCTTGGTCCCGTGTTCTTTCGTGGAGCGGAGTGTTGTGTTCTTGTGTGTGATATGACAAACGCGAAGTCATTCGAAAAGATCGACTCGTGGAAAAAAGTACTTCTCTCGAGCCTTTCCCAACAAGACGACATCGAGTCATTTCCATTTGTTATTGTTGGCAACAAAGTTTGTTTCAAACTCTGGTCTGAAATATCTCAATCGTTCCGCAAATCTGAATCTCCAGAAATGAGATGTTCTGATTTTTCAAATTATAATAAAATACTTATACTTAAGAAGTATCTCGAATCACAAGTGACCAATAGAGTGATTGTACAGATGAAGAAAGACAGGTGACTTTTGCGCAGCTTTCTGCGTATGGAGGCGGGAAATATTCATATTTTGAATGTTCAGCCAAAACGGGGTGGAATGTGGATACCATTTTTATAGAAGTTGCAAAAATTCTCAAACAAAAATCAAAAATCCTTTCAAACTCACCGTTTGTTCCAAATCAACAATCTTCACAAATTCAGTGAACTTATTAATAGCGAACTCATTGAGCCTTGCAGACTCGATGACATAACTGAAAAGGTTGATAAGAAGAAAAGCTGCTGTAATTAGGTCTTTAGAGTTGTATTGTTTCATTATGCTTTTAGTTTAATTATAGTATTTTAATAGCTTCTGTTTACTGTACTACAATTTATTATATAATCATTAGTATTATTATTTCTTTAAATACAATATTATAATTTTTAAAATTGTATATTATATTTAATAGTTATTTTAATATCAATTCATTTGTTTTTTTTTAAACGATAGATTTATATATTTTAAACTTATAATTAATTGAAACTATACTCAAAATGAATAATTTAAAAATTGGATAAAAAAAAGAGATCAAAATAAAACTATATATAATAATAAAACAATTAGAATTAAAATTAATTGTGATTATTTTTTTTTGCAAACCTCAATAATAAAATTTTTCAAAAAAATCTTAAAAATGGGAGTGGTGGAATGGCCGACAAGAGCCTTTTAGCGGAAGTGATGAGCACAGAGGTAACAAGTGAAAAGACGATAAAAAACAAAAAACGGGTGAAAAAGCTTCTCAGCGGAAAGACCGAAAAAGATGAGAAAAAACCCAAAACAAAGGAACAAAAGGAAGATGAAAAAAAGGAAAAAAAAGAGAGTGATAAGATTGAACAGAAACGGAACGAAAGCACAGATAAGGGTCTGAAAAAAGAGGAAAAACCAAACGAAAAAAAAGGAAATACCACAGAGAAGATTCAAGAAGACGGCGAGGAACAGATCGAATCGAAAAAAACAATGAATCCATCGAAAGAAAGTAAGGTGGAAGAAGAGGAATTACTCGTCGAGAATAAAAGTCAAAAGAAGATAAAAGAGAACATAGAAGAGAAGAAAGAGGACGTTCTTTCTAAAAAGCAGAGAATGAGAAGACTAAAAAAGGATAGTTCTGATGACGAAGAAAATGAAGAGATGGAAAAGGACGAAAAAAAACCACGGAAGTCAGACACGGCAAAACAAAGATTGGTGTTATCGGGTTTCGAGAAAATAACAAGAATCAAGAAGGACCTCTCAAAGATATTCAGCGTACGAAATGTAATCGAAGAGGCAGATGTTCTAGTTGTCGACGCGGCGAAAAGAACTGAAAAGGTTCTAGATGCACTTGTTAGAGGAATTCCAGTGGTTAGCCACGATTTTTTGTCGGAGTCAATTAAGAACGGAGAACCCGCGAAAATTGACAAGTTTTTATTGAAGAGTGCATTTAAAGGGTTGACAAAGAGCAAGAAAGAACGGAAAAACTTGTTATCGGGAATGAACATTTTTGTGGGGGGAAAACCCAAAATCTCGACAGAAGTTCTTCAAAGATGGATATTAGAGCTTGGTGCTTCCATTAAAAAGACATACAAAGATGCGGACACGATCGTTTGGGGAGACAGAAAGAAGTTCAATTTGAGGACTAAAGAGGGACAAAAAGTCGTCGAAGAGACGTGGTTGTATGATACAATTGAGAAGATGGAAAAGCAAAATTTTTTCATTTACTTGATCAACGACCCCGAGCTTGGGAGTGAAGAGGAGAAAGAAAGGAAGGTTGAAGCAATGCTGAACAATGATGGAGAAGAACAAGAAGGAGACAAGAAGTTGGAAGAGGAGGGAAAAGATAAAAGTGAATAAGTGATTGTCTTGATGACTTTATTGGATGCAATAAATTGCGTTTTAAATTTTGTAACAACATTCCGACCTTTTATTCTGCAATTTTGCTTTTAATAATAATAAAATGATTTTGTGGTTTCATTGCAAAAAAAGTAATATTTTTTACACACAATTTCGGGAAATTGTTTATGTTAAATTTTATTATAATTTAAATGTAATTTGAAACCTATAACATTAACTTGGTAAACCAGATTTTTGGATAATCAATTATCGTAAGCGCATCTTCCTTTGTCACAAAGAAGCAAATTATACACAAATCTTGCCTGTTCCAAGTCCAATTGACTTCCTAGCGCCGTGTATTCAGGTGTTGTCGATATATACGTTGCTTTGTTATAGTTATGTTTATATCTTGAAATGACATACTTTCCATCCGTCGTTGACGCCATCACGTCAAGCCCCTTTTTATGATTAATCATCTCGCCCCGCTCCGTCCACCTAAAATCTGGGAGTGGCGCATTGAGCTTTTGTGTGACCTTTTGTTTTATAATTCTGTCTGAATCAGCCCATAGATACGGATCGGACATCAGTCTGCGTTATTTTACATCTTCGTTGTTATTATCGCGATCAACTATTTCGGACCCACTCATTCCAAAAAAATCTAAAAGCGCCCTGTTGTCTATTCCCGTTGCACTGTCGTAAAACGTTGTTACTGTTGCAAGCAGATTAAATCCGTACGGCGCTTCTGTGGTAAAACTGTTTAAGGTTTCGATGTCATACTCAGTGAATTGGTGATGTTGGGCACTCGAAGACAACACAATAAGGTTTCCCCGTGTGAAGTAGTTTGTGAGTTTGATACGGATTTCGACCGTTCCGAAGTTGGACCAATTGGCGTTCAAATAGTTCCACATCGGGATGCTTGTGAGTTCGGGGAAAGGTACCACAATAATAGTGGGGCGTGGACGATAGTTCATCAACATATCGAGCCGACTAAGTTTTCTCATCAATTTCTTTCATTTTTCCACGCTTAAATGTGCTTTTGTTCCACAAAGTGTGAGTGATTGAGTGTTTGGTGGAACGAGAAAACTCAAATTAAAATACTTTGATGTTGTTTGGTTAAGTCTTGCAAATAGCTGTGCAAAACAAAACTAATAAAATTTAACTAATTTATAGTTTTATTATTAATTCTAGAATTATAATATATTTTTATAATATTTTTAATTATTAATCAATGAAATTTTTTTTTACCAATTAAGCAAAACAGACATATTCTAAAAATATAAGAAAATAAATTATATTTGCTAGTACTCTTTATTCCTCAAAAAGAAAAACAAAATAGTAAGATTAATAGTAAAATAACTACTGCTAATAACATTAATATAAACTAGAAAATCACCAAAACGATAAGTAATGAGTACTGAGGTTTCAAAGCCATTATTGTTGCAATTAATATCAGAGGGTGTTCTATTCAAAGTGATGTCTTTTCTTTCCGTTGATGAGTTTGTGATTTTGTGCACTTTTTGAACATACGAACAACAAAACGATAACTGAAAGTCTTGACGCGTTTGCTGTTGCTTACCCAAAAATCACTGCCAAAAACATTGTGACCGATCACATACGAAAGATTCTCAAAATTAACGGGACTATAACACTCGACCAGTCGTTAAAAAACCGAAAATTAAAAGACATCTATAATAAACTTAAAAATACATGTTTGTTCCTTTATAAAAGTGTTATTATATAGCAGTTAAGTGTTTAGTAAATGTTATCGTTTATTTGAAAGATAAAAAAATTGTATTAATACCAGTATTAGTGTCGACTTTAATTTTTTCGAATAGTACTTTTTATCATTAATGTACTATTTATTATAGTTTATTACACCTTCATATTATAAAAAAATCATTCCATTTGTTTTATTCTCGTAATTATATAATTATTAATAAATAGTTAGTAATTTATCAAAATTATTAACTATTTAAAATTATTTATTTATAGTTAAAATCATACCAAAATTGCTCGTTACTATGAATTATATTATTAAAGTAAATGATATTATAAATAAATAGTACATTATTATTACTACTATTTTACTTCTACTCATATTATGTTATATAAATATTATATTTATAGTACAAATAACTATTAATTATAGTTCAGAAGCATTAATTGCAAGACAAGCCGAATTCATTCAGTTTACCAAGACGAGCGAATCAGTATGGACTTACGATGGTCAAAAATATCATTACGAACACAAACACAGATACCAATCAACACATTTCCTTTGAAGCTAATGAGCCATTTAGTAAAGAATATCAATTAGTGTGTTATAGTCATACCTTTGGGCACTTTGTCCTCTTAAGAACTCCAATTTTCTATTATGAGATTGAGGTATTGCCGAACGCGTCTTCGCACGTCATCGAAGAAATGATCATATCCATTGGCCTCACCCCTACAAAAGATTACCCAGATAACAAACACATTGGGTGGATCGGAAACGCTATTGGCTTCCACTCGGACGACGGACAACTCTTTGATAACACGGGCTCGGGAGCAAGTTTCGATCGGCCTTATAACTCGGGAGACGTCATTGGAGTCGGATTTAATGTAATGAAGAAGGTCGTCTTCTTCACTAGAAACGGGAAAATAGTCAATAACAAATTCATCCCGACATACTGTGACACTATGTACCCAGCTCTCGGATTTTCAACATGCTACTCTGTCTCAGTTAACTTCGGACAACAGCCGTTTGTGTTCGACATCCTCGAAGAAATTAAAAAGGCAATTTAAATGATGGGTCATGTATTGTCGTTATTTGAAGGGATAATCAAAAATGTCGTTTCGTTCATATTATAGTTTAATTTATACATAAGAAATGGAATTTTTTATAATAATTTGAACGATTTTTAATTAGGGAATAAATTGATTTGTAATTTGTTTATAGTTAAATTATACTATATAAAACAAATAGAATTAAAATTCGTAATTTATAGTAAAACTGTGTTAGATAAATATTAACACTTTTTACCATTAATAACAAATTCTTTTTATAAAATTATATATTAATTTAAAAATAGTTAAATTTAATATAAAATTTTTTAGTTAAAAATATTAAGTATAATTATCAAATTATACTACGATAAATATTTACTATATTTATTATTAAATAAATTGTAAATGTATTATGTTTTTATTTGTCATAATAATATTTTAAAATTATAAAACATTATTTCTTATGTTAATTAATATTTTCTTATGTTAAACTTTTTGAAAATAATTCATATATTATATATTATAATAATTTTTATTATTAAAAAGAATGGTACATATTAACACAAAAATAGATATTTAATTACAAATTTTTTGAATTAAATTTAAACTATTTGTTATTGGTAATTTTAATTTTAATTTTAATAATAAATTATAAATTATTATAATTATTATTATAATATATAATATATAATATATAATATTAATAAAAAAATTATTCAAATAAGGAAGAAAAAAAATTTTAAAATATAATTTCTATTTTAAAAAATATATGTTGTTAATATGATTTTTATTTGAAATTGACATCATTTGCCCATGTTAGGTGCAATTGAAATTAAAAATGAAAAGGTATTTTAAAATGTATTTTAAAATTAATTATTAATTAAACAAATTATTTTTTTATGTAATAAGATACATTGCATTTAATCAAATTTCATTGTTAATATCATTTATTTGGTATTTAAAAATGATTAAAAACTTTTCTCTTCACTTATGAAACAAGTTGCAGAGAAGTTTAAAACCTCTTTGAATAGCAAAGCTTCTTCGCTTTCTTACAACAATGAGTTGCATGCTTTGTTGAACAATTATGTGTCAGAGACTATTACAATATTTCAAACTAGTACTGACAAAACTACTCAAAATTTTGTGATTGTTTCCTTTTCTTTATTAATCAATGATTTGTATCAAATAAAACATGAATATAACTTAGAAATTGACAAAAACGAGGAAATATGGAAGGATGGTATAGAATCACTAAAAGCTGGAACATTAGTTGATGAAGTGTATAACATAAAATCATTTGTACTTGATAATAAGGAATACATTGATTGTATTATAGACTTTTTATACCTTTACCAGATTATCTTATTAAGTGGAGGAAGTATTGATGATATTTCAAAGTATATTGAAAATACTTTCATGATGATGAAGAAAAATTAATTTTTTGGTTATTTTATTACAATAGTAACACATTTTCAAATTTATTAAATCTGTTTTTTGTTGAAAAAAAGTTTACTTGTTATATAACTTGATAAAGATAAACAATCATTGAAAAAAATATGGTGATATTAATTAATAATGTTATGATAATTATCACACATAAATTTATTTAAATAACTTTATATTATTTCATATAGACATTAAGTTGATAACAAATATTCAAATTGAGTTATAACTATTATTATTAGTCATTAAATATAACAGAGATTTAATTACATTTTAGATTTATTTATTTATTATCACCAACACTTCCGTTATAGTAAATTTTATGTTTAAAAAATGTGATAACTTCAAAACCAATTATAATTATGTTTTTAATCAGTCTATTTTGATTATCATCTTTATTTTAAGTTAAAAATAAACTTCTAAAGCAATATGTCAAAAACCTTTTATACCTATTTTAATACACATTATCAATTTTAAATGCGTAAACATTTTGAAAACATTTTAAAATTTCAAAAGTGGTCAAATCTTTTATTAATAATGTTGTCTTTCTTTGTATTGTTGTTAAGTTTTTGTTGTAGTCAACCAACACCTCCAAAAAGACCTACCCCACCTCCTCCTCAAAGAGATCTATCACAACATCAACAACTAATCAAACAAACAATTTCATTTTTCATCGCTTCTTATGAAGGGTTAATCCAAAATGTAAAAGAACTTTCAACTCGATTAACTCAATATAAAACTTATGCATCACAAGTAGATGTTACCCGAACAGAAGATGTTAAAACAAAAGAAACAGAACTGCTTATGTGTTTCAAGGAACTTTTATCGTCAAACGAAATCACAGAACCCAATTTGATTGATTGTATTTTCATCATAAAAACTTCAATGGAAGATAACGATTATGTTAATAAATTGATTGAAATGGCGAAAAGACTTAACCAGATTAAAGCAATGATGGAAATATCCCCACTAAAAAACGCATTTGAGTCAATATTATTTCTTTCATCATTTCATCAATATTTACGAATGATGGATCATCAATGGACGTGTTTGGACAGTTTATTAAAAATTGCACCACTATCAAACAGTCGAAGGATTAATGGAGCAAAAAAACGAATTGAAAAATTTGTGGTGTTATGTGATGAAAAACTACTAAAGATGTCATTCTATCGGGGACTGAAATATGTTTTACCAACTTTTGAAACAAAATCAAAAAAGGAAATGTTAATAAAAGCAGCTCCTGGAGCTTTTGGCACTGGTCAGAAGAGAAAGTTGTCACTGGCAAGAACCATGTTGAAAACTTCTGGTGTTTTTGGCGAATTCCCTATTCAATCTCCACTCGTGGAAGGAGATGTAAAAACTGTACCAGTAAAAAGAAAAAGAGGTGGTCAGCATTATTATACCTACCAGTCTACTAAAAATCCACAAGATGACGAAAAACCATCAACTTCAAAAGAATGAAATAAACCAATTATTTTCAGAAGTGTTGATATTTGTTAATTTTTTGACTTAAAATAGTTAATTTTTAAGGATATTACCTTCCAAATGTTATAATAAAAATAAAAGTTTATTTAAAAGTATTATTTTATAAAAATAAATAAGTTTAAAAATTGTTGCCTCTATCAATTGTAATCTTATAAAAATTATTTAAAAAAGTTGTGTATGATTTTTTCAAACAAAAAAAATACTTAAAATAATCACAGTCAAAGGCGTTTATTTGTTGAGAATATTGCATAAAATGTATAAAAATGTCGTTAATGAGTGAATTTAGAATAAAGTTTGTTTAGTAATCAATTTTATTTAAAAAATGGTTTTTAATTCAACAATAAAAAAAAGATTTAAAACAATATATTTAATTGACAGACAACAAAATAATTGGCCAGTTGTGGACAAATAAGCAATTTCGATAATCAACATCATGTAAAATAAACAACTTTGACTCATGCCTCGGAAAAATTTGCTTTTCAAGAAAAAAAGACTGAAGAGGCTGTTTTTTGCGGCAAAAAAATCGTCTTTGGTAAAGCCATTTTTAAAAATACGAAAATAAACGGGACATTAGGTTATATTGAATTGTGATTCCAGAAGATTCAATAATTTTTATCAAATTGTTTTTGATAAATTAACAATTTATAAATATTTATCTATTTTTTATGTTTTATTAGCACAATAAAAAAACATAATATAAATTAACGAAAAGATAAATTTAACATATGAATTTTATTAACATATTTTCTTGTATAATTAACACACCGAAAAAATAAAATTAATTAACGAAAAAATAATTAACAATTTAAAAATATTTATCGATTTTTCTTGTCAAATTAACACAGCGAAAATTTACAAATAATTTAACTCAATCAAAATTAACATCTTACTATTATTAACGTTTTTACATGTTAAATTAACAAACTAAAATGTAAATAATTAACGATAATTCAATAAAAAAATGTATTTCAAATAAATTACATTGTACAATATCTGTTTGTAATTACAAACATTTATTTGTAATTATTAATTAAATATTTTATTTGTTACAGAATCGACGGAGTAAAATATTTAAAACCACAATTAAACAAACATTATTTGATAATTAAACAATACCGTTTCATTGAAATTCTATTTCAAAGAATGACTTGTTATAAATATTTATTTTATTATAAATTATAAACATAAAAAATGAATAAAATGATGTCATGTGCATGATCAACATATAAGACTATGGTCATTTTTCAACATGGAATAACAATTGCATCACAATTAACAACATTTTTTATAATGATAAATCATTTGTGTTAGAAAAAAATTATTATTTTAAACTTTTCAATATATCTTTCAACCTGTTTATAATTTTGTTGATACTTATTAATGTACAACATAATTTATTTAGTATTGTATATTTAATTCTGAATTATATTGTTAAAATAAATGTATTGTAAAATGTATAGCATTGGTCATTCAACGTGCCAAACAATGACAATATAAGCAGTTGATTTGTCTGGAATAAAATACATTTTAACAAACAGTTAGTTAATAATGACATCAATAAAAAACATGATTATAACTTCTTTTGTATTTTAATGAACAACAAAAACACCAAATTGAAAAATATAAAACATTGTAACGGTCCATTTGTTTCAAATCATAAACCAATAGAAGTTTACGCTTTACTTTGTTTAAACATTAAAAACACAACAATAATTTTAATTATCATTATATGGACAGTAATATTTAAATAAGGTACAACAATTTGTGTATTAATATATCATTTAAAACAGCTTATATTTTACATATATATACGTTGAAATCAATAAACACGAAATTGTGACTTTTATGTATTTTAACTTGATTTTTTTGTAAAAAAAATATTTTGACATTTAAACAAAAGTGGGTAAATTCATTACTGATTCAACTTCAATACATATTTGTTGTTTAAAAACATTTCGTTAACAACATATCAACAACAATATTGAAATATGTTAACAAAAAATACATAACTATAGTTTTTAATTCATGTTAATTCTTAGACTACTAAAAAAGATTGTAATGTCTGATGTACACGTTTAAGTGAGTCGCAAGTAAAATCCTAAAATTGGTGTAAACTGTGATATTCTCTTAATTTTACTGTTATTTTTTAAACTTTTAGTTTTATGTTACATTTTTACACATCGTAAAGTTACCACTTTTAATATTTTAGGCTGTTTTTAAATCATCAGTGTAGCAATAAACGGTAAAACCCAATACACCAACTGTTGTTATCAAATTAATGAAAATTACTAATTAATAAATGCTTCCATTTTAATTAATCATAATAGTTGTAGTATTATCAAAATATACATGTTCACTTTTTGTGTTGTAATATAAATAATAATTAAACGATAGTTAAAAATTATTTGGATTAATATCTCGCTTGCACATCATTTTCAACAAAAAACTGTTGATATGAAAATTGAGGATATGGAAGTGATTGCACAATGAAATTATTAACAATTGTTTATATTTGATTTTTCTTTGTATTAACAAATCGTCAATGCAAACACATATAATTACAATTAATAATTGAAAAAGAACAATGTCATTAACAGTCATTATTCATTCAAAAATTTAATTATACAATTACACTTGTATTAACAAATATGTATATCTATTATTAATATATTTAAACTTTTAACTGTGTTGATAACTGTGTTATGTGAATAATTGGAAACACCTTTTTACTAAAAGTTAATAAATGTATAATTATTCAAAATAAATTTTAAAGATATCAAAATATAAATCAAAAAATAACAGAAATGGTCAATTGAAATATTTAATTTCGATTTGGTTATCACTGTATATATTGTTAATCGTATGTGTATTAACGTAAAACAGACTATTTTAAAATTATATAAATATAAAACTTGCAAACTGTTTTGTTGTTAAAAGTTTGGCATCAAACATAAACTGTTAGATTCGAATATAATTAATATGATTTATTTTTACAACAAATTTTTATTATTGAAAATGTGTATATCTGTATTAATAATTATGTTATATGAACTGAATACCTCGACTACTAATAGGTTATAAACCATTATTGATTAAATATTAATTACTGGATTTTAAAAAACAATAAAGAAAATATAATTGATGTGATTGTTTTGAAATTGATAATTGATATCTGATGTGCCTGTTTAATTTATTAATAAATCATTTTTTTGTTTATCAACTACAATAACTTTTAGATGTATGAAATTTTATAAAACTTGTAACAACTCGAACGTTTTAAAAAGAAAGAAAAAATGCAACCAACAGTCAAGAAATTACTTTTATTTTGTTATTTAATTTTATATATTACAACAACACCTGGAATTCAATTATGTTACGTCAAACTATTTAATCGGGCTTACATGATACTGAGAATTTACATTTCTGAACTGTCTCATCTTTTCTTTTTTGGTTTCATGTTATTGGTAATTCAGTTAGTGTTTATTTTCAGATTATGCCTTTTTGTAACGATATATTTAATACAAAATTTTTAATATATTTTTGACAGATATTCCATAATATTACTTGTAAAAGAGGATCAATGTCATTGTTTGCATCCACAATAGTCATTAAGATTATAAGTTTAAAAAATCACATATCAATTACAAGTGTATGTTTCAAGAAATTACATTAACAGTTTTTAGTCTACAATTATAAAGCAAATATATACTCTGAAATACCACATACAAATAATACAGCTACGACTGTTGTGTTAATAACGGGTTATTAATAACAAATTTTTGTTGCATGTTTCATGAAATTTCAATTATTAAATTGATAACAAAATAATAATTTAATAAGTTATTATAGATATTTTATTAAATAAAACTATAATAATTTTATAATAAATTATTATTTAATTAAACTATAAAAATATAAAATAATTAATTATAACAATTATTGTTACAAACTTATAGTTAAGTTATTATTAATTTTACTAATAAATAAAAATAAAATCCCATAATGTTATTTTTAAATAGTAATTCATTTAATAACACAATGAAAACACAGTAATAAAATAATTGAAGTGTTCTTAAGGTGTGTTTGGTTTAAAACGTTTTTCTTCATGTCAATAATTAATAATTAAAATTGTTAATAAAAAATATTATAATTTGTTATAAAATGAATATAATTACAGGTTAAATAATATAATACATGTCAAGAATGTTCACATAAACTAAAGAATAAATAAAATTTAATTGTAATAATGGTAACTATTATAATTAAATGATTAGTTCAATTACTATTTTATTATACTATTTCTAATTTATTTAACATTAATTTATTTGAATTTGTATATTATTTAATTATATCAAAATGATTAAATTTATTATACTTTTAGTTTTTTTGTTAATTTTATTTAAAAAATTATGTTCAAAATGAATTTAAATTATTAATTTATAATTTATTAATAATTTATTAATAGTTTAATTGTTGTTTGGGTTTATTTGTGACTTTATTTTACTATTAATATTTCGTTGTTATTAATTTTTTATATAGTTTTTATAAATGTAAATATTTGTTTTTAGAAAATGTTATTTGAATGTTTTGACAAAATGTACTATTTCTTAATATATTATTTATTACATAATTTAATACATAATTATTGTATGTGGGTTAAACATTAGTTAAGATATCGTTAATTTTATTATATTGTTATAATAAATTTGTATAATTTATTATATCATGTATATACTATAACAATTAACCAGTTGCTAATACTTTAAATACTAGACGTTTTTACTATTGTTCTATAAAAGGGAGTAACCATGAGGTGAGTTTTATTTTAATTTGCCAAAAAATATTTTAGTGCAAAAAAACAAATTTTTCCGAGGCATGCTTTGACTATTATGTTTATTAATAACTCAAACTTTATTATTTTTTCTATTTTTTTATAAAAAAGGTTCTTTTATTTTCATTTCTGAAAGTTGTTTTTTATGTTATTCAAAATGTTATTCAAAATGTTATTAATGTAACTCGCAACAATAAAAAAAATCCTCAATCACGGCTTTGTCTCTTGTTATTTTGCTTTGCTTTATTTCCTTTTGCGAATTTATTATTTCTCTTTTCGCCTTTTGGCTTTCCATTGACTTTTTTGTTGGTGTTAGTTTTCATTTGCTTATTAACTTTCTTCCCGACTGTTTTCTTTTCTTTTTCAACTGATTTTGGTTTTTCAGGGGAAGTTGGCTTTTGTTCTTCACTTTGTTTTTCGACTTTCTCGAGTGACTTTTGTTCTTCACTTTCTTGTGAGTCAGCATTTGGGTCAAGAACTTCATCTTGATTTCTTTGAGGGCACTCGTCTTTTGAGTGTCCATAATTTCCACAGATAAAACATTTTCTTTTTAATTTAGCTTTTTCATAGTCCTTAGGGTTAGGTAAGTTGCCACAAACGGCAAGTGCTTTTCCTTTAAAAACTTTTCCTCTAATATCCATCATTATCTTCACCGCATCACTACGATCTTTCACAACGACTTTAGCTTTGCCACTCGGCGTCCCCTTTTTCTCGACTATTAAATTGGCACTCTCAATGTCAAAGTCCCTAAAGTACTCCACAAAACGGGGTTCTTTGGTCCCTTGAGGAAACCCTGAAACGATAATTTGAGTCTTGTCTTCTGGGGAATACTCCGCAGTGGTGTGTTTCCCATCAGACATCCCCGTGCTCATCTCTTGATAGATCTTTGCGGCTTCTTCAACACTTTTGGCTTTGACTATTCCCGTGTTCAAAACAACATCCTTTTTGTGTAAAAAGACCTCAACTGACTTCACATTATACCCCTTGAAAAGTTCTTCAAATTCGGCAACCGTCGTTGCGTTTGAGATGTTACTGATGTACAATTCAATAGGTTTCAGCATGTGGGAATAAACTTCTTTGTTCATTAAACCCTTCTTGTTCTTCCTTTTTAATAAAAAGTAAAGTGTTTTTTATTACGAACAAAACACAGTGGTATTGAAATTGATGTGTTTTATAGGGTTATTTATGGATTTTTTAAAGTTTTTCCCTCTTTGGGCTATATGTTGTTATACAAATTATAAACATCTAAAAAAAAGGAAAAGTCTTTTATAAACTCAAAATTTCCTGATTTTTTTTGACCTATTAATTATTAATATATTTTTATGTGTTTTAACCAATATTTTAAGTCCCTTTAATATTCGTACTAATAATCCCGATTATTACTTATACTTGTATAGCAATTCAAGTCATTTTTTTGAACTGTATTTTTTATAATAAACTATAAATAATTAAGTTATAGTAATTTTTATTATTTTTAATAGTAATATAAACTAGTATTTCATATTGATAGAATATTTTATAATATATATTTGTTATTAATTAGTTACTAATAATAAACTCTTATAATATTTTTTTTTACAAATGATAGATATTAACATAATAATATAATAATAGCATTCCAATAGTTTTATGAAATAATTGTTATTAATAATAAAAAAACCAATAAGAAACTATTTTTGATATGAATTAGAAGATATAGTAAATTTTATGATAATAAATTACTAAAAAAGTGTTAAATCAATCATCGTCTTCCTCATCAGAACCTTCTTGTTCATTAGACTGTTCCTTTTTCTCTTCACTGCCTTCTTCGAACTCGTCTTCATCTTCCTCGTCGATTTCCTCTTCACTTTTTGCTTCTTTTTCCTCTTCGATTTCGACGTTTTCCTCCCCATTGTTTCCAATGATATCTTCATCGGAATGATCTTCTCTGATTTCTCCATTTTTGGCGTCTTCATGAGCTTCAAGTGGCACATTCACCTTTTCTGCGTCATCCTTAAATTTGCAGTCCTTAAAAGTGTGGCCAGTCTCTTTACATAAATAACACTGTTTCACCTTCTCCTTCTTCTCGCCAGGTGCAGCACCACATGCGCATTGGCATTTGCATTCCTTCTTCCCGTCCATTGTACTTTTTAGATGAAAGAAGGTTTAAGTACATGTACCTCTGGTATTGATAACTCCTTTTGTCTCAAAAAGTGTGTGTGTGGAATACTTAATTTTATACTTTTAAAGTTCTCCTAATACACCCGATATACTCAAGAAATTAAATGGAACTTATCCCTCCTTTTCATTCACATAAACCCAATAATTCACTTCAACTGTTTGTCCACTTGTTGTTCTTTTCTTTCTTGTTGGTGGACAGTGAATAACATTTTCATCACAAAAATGGAAATGTGGGATAAATAACATTTTTAAAATCCATAAAATGTTATTGAATAACAAAATTAATAACAAATATATTCTCGACCTGTTGATGTGACCAGAATTGACAGGCAAACTACAAAGAAGTTGGTTAATGGCGGGTTAACTTTGTTGTCGCTTGTCAGTCCTCTTAAAGTAGTCGTAAATGATTTTCTCTTTCTGTACTTTGTGGAGCCTTTTAATGAAAATCTTCCTTGAATTATACAGTTGAAGAATACAAATGTTTTCTAAATAACAACTACAGTGTACTGTTTCGGTAAACTATCGGGATATTTGGCTTTTAAAATACTGGAATTGATTCGGCTTTTTTTCTTGTGGTCAATCAAAGCAATTATGATTGTTTTTATTAGAGTAAAATGACTACAACTTAAAACAAATCAATGCATATTAATCAATGATCCTCTAATAAAAGTATGGAAATTACACTTGATACATAACAAATAGTTATATATATAGTTAAATCTAGTTTAATGAAGGTAATTATTCATCAATAACAATTTAATAATAAATTCAAAGCAATAGATTTTACAAGAAAAATTAATTATTATTACTTTTTTTTATTATTAATTATTGTTAGCTTCATTATAATTAATAAATTAAAAAATCATACTCCTTGTTATTTCCAGTTCTTTGTTATTGTGATGAATACAGCGACTGAGATTTTTTTAAAAACATCCCTCTTTATTACTCTGATTAAGCCAATAAAACAGACGACACACCCATTATTCTATTGTACTGTTAATGACGTCATTGTTATTTTCAGATCAATTACATTTTTCTATATATTTATAATATAATATAGTAATTTTAATTGTTTTTTTTTTTTATGTTTTTATTATTGTATTTATGGTAAAAAAACTATTACATTAGAATCACTTGATTTATATTGCGAATACCAGGGAAACGTCGTAATAATGTCCACATGATTCAACTCCAGAATAATTCTTTAATTCATAATTCAGATTCTAACACAACAGAAGACTTAACTATTTATTAATTTATTGTACCAGTTCTACTCATTCAAATGATTCCACAACAACAAGGATACCCACAACCACCTTATGACCCACAGTTTGGTATGTATCCACAACAAATGCCGGGCCAATACCAACAAGGACAGATGCCTGGACAAATGCCTAATCAAATGCCACCTCAAATGGGAATCCAATATGATCAAATGTACCCAGGACAGATGCCACCTCAAATGCAAGGTCAAATGCCAGGGATGTACCCCGGTCAACAAATGTCCCCAGCAATGACTGGAGAATACAAGAAAGACAAAGACCATAAAAAGGATAAAGACCACAAAGATAAAGACAAGAAGGACAAGAAAGATAAGAAAGATAAAAAGGACAAAGAACACAAAGATAAGGATCATAAAGATAAAGACAAAAAATATCAACAAATGCCCCCTATGCAGGGCCAAACGTACCAACAAGCTCAACAAATCCCTCAAAACGTTTACCAACAACAACAATTGCCTTATCCACCTCAAATGATGGGCCAACAACAAATCCAACAATTGCCTCCTCTCCAACAACCAGGTCAAATGTACCAACAACAATGCCCTCAAAACGTTTATCCTCAACAAATGGCCGGTTCAATGCCTCCCATGGCCCCTATGCCTCATCCACAAATCAATCCAGATCACAAAGATAAAAAGGATAAAGACAAAAAAGATAAGAAAGACAAAGACCACAAAGATAAAGATCACAAAGACAAGGACAAGAAAGATAAAAAGAAGAAATAATAATTCAATTTCCATTGTTATTACTATATATCACTATAGAGTGAACTGTTTTACAATCTTATAAAAATAATTTGGTATTATAAATCAGTATTTGTTGTTTGAAAATTATTAAAAGCAATCAAATTTAACAACTAATCTCAAGGTGATAACTTTTTGTGTTGATTTCACTTAACTCTATTATAAGAGGAAGTATGGTTAATAACAGATTTTATTTTAATAAGTTAAATTATTATTTCATTGTTATCAAACAATTTACAATAAATTATAATATAATCAATTATAAATTATAGCTTTATAATCTAATATAAATATGATATTAATAAACAATTATAAATATACTATACCATTTAATATTTTATAGTTTTATTAATAATAATTGTTTTCGGTTGTTATTATAAAAATGATAATTTTTTATAATAATAAAATCGGCAAAAAGCCACCATCTGTAAAGAAAAATTTTTGGAATGGCATCAAGGAACAAAACTACGACTTTTACCAAAACTCCTTTTTTTTGACATAAAAACACATACAATTTATTCATTTTTTTATTTAAAAAGCATTTTGGAGAGAAGATCCGAATTTTTCCGTGTTTGGTAATAAATGTGATGAGACTCTATAGTAATTTATACTTCATATTAAATTCATATAATTAAGAAGTTTTTATATTTTCATACAATAACTATTAATTTAATACTATAAATAACTATAATTAAAGTCATTTAATTAGTAACTCAAATAAATCACATGTCGACATCGAATGAAGAAAGGGACCTTTTGGAGTATTACAAAACGCAACGAAGGCTTCATCGTATAGATGAATCGATGGAGAAGATTCGGAATCTTTTTGATTATACCAATCCATTTATGGCTCACACAGAAAAGACGGAAGTTTCCTTTTCAGATGGGAATAGTATAGTGGACTTAACCAATCGCTTTGTGTTTACACTTGATCCTCCTTCTACTCGGTTGTATGATGATGCGATTAGTTATCGAGAGATTCCTGAGAAGAGAATGATAGAGATTGGGTTTCACTGTCCTTATTTTGATCAAAAGGAGTTGCCCTTTTTCAGTGGATTTGTCGAGAAGAGTTCGCAGTGTGTGAGTTTGAATGGGTATCGCGAGATGATGGCAAAGAACAATTTTGACCATCAAAAGTCTTTAAGTGTGAAGAATGGAGTGATCAAGTGTCTCTCCGTCCTTTGTTATTTCAATAGTAGTTTTGATTTAGTCGCTCGATGGTATGGCTTGTCTCACATCAAAATCACTTGTAATTTGCACTACGTCGATGCTACCTATTTGAATTACGAGAAGCTGACGTACACTACAACCACCGGTGACGTTTTAAGCGTCCCACAAAACGTCATTCTTGGCGTCCAGAGATGTATCGATACTTTTAAAAATTACATGAAAAAAAAGTACCCGTCGTATAAGCAATTTAAAGGCTTCAATGGATTTATCGCAGTCGTCGGAGATGTTTTGGGATTACTCATTTCAAGAGACTTGTTCGCTGTATATAAGGATTTGGCTTTCGCTCTTGTTCTGACGTCTTCTAAGAAGGCCGTCGCTTCAAACAGATCCCCTCTCAGAAAATTTGGTGATTTACTCGCTAATTATCAACTCGTCGCTTTGATGAAAGGTCTTGAGAAAAATGATATGATGAAGTTCGTTGCTGGGTATGACATCTCCGTCGATGATTTCAAGGAGCTCATCAGGTCAAATCGCTTGGAAATCTATTGACTTTGTTGTGAATGCTATTTTTTTAGGCAAATCAGATGGAAGATTGAACTCTTTTGCTCTAAGATTTTTCTATTGACTCAATTGGAATGAAAATATTAGTAAATAACTTATTAGAATAGAATACTATGGGGTGTATTATACTATTCTATTAAATTATCCTATTTCATTTAAATTAATGGCTGTTCGGCGACTTTACAGTTTTTTTGAAAATCGCCGACTTTTCAGTGGTCTTAAAAGTCGCTGACCTAAATATTTAGTTAAATAACTATTCAATATACCATTTATCATGTAAAAGATATTGAAAAAAATAAACCATATAAATCTAATATAATTATTATTAAAAAACAAAATGAAACAATACCGTCCCAATTATATCTTCTCAAATCATTTTTTAATTATATTTATATGATTATAATATAACAAATTATAACAACTATTGTGTTTTTACACATTTTTGAGACTATAATGAATATGGTATAATTTATTAAAGTTAATAGTTATTTAGTTCTAAAAGAAGTCGGCGACTTTTGAAGGGACTCAAAAAGTCGCCGACTTTTCAGTAATATCAAAAGTCGCCGAACAGCCATAAAAGTAACTCAATATTAATAGTATTTTTAGTACATTTCAATACTTTCAATAATTCATTAATATATAATATAAAATATAATATAAACTATCATACCCATTCTAATTCAAATATAATAAAAGAAACTAAATTAAAAACCAAACATTTTTTATTATTTTAATTGAAAAATGTTTTTATTTATAGAAAAAAAACAGTAAGAACAATTCATAAGTCACTTATCGGGACACCCCGTGAAGTATTTGAGACAATCCCGATTTGTTAAATCAATCAAATTACAAGTTTTACACTTCAGATCTTCAAATTCGCCGTTTCATCTAATTGTCGTTATGAGAATTAATTTTAAAGTGAAGTGTAAAGTCAAGCCGGTCCATATCAAACTTTGTGGAGTGAATGCGACTGTTGGACCTGTGACCGTCAACTTTTCAAAGGAAAATGCTGTGACGACAGTCGACACAATTCATGTGACGTATGAGTCTCTCAATTCGGAAAATTGTTTGCAAACGCATGACATTTTCTCATCAAAAGCATCACAGAACATACAAACACAACAACAAGAACCCGTAGTTAAATACACATCAAATATCAGTGAGAGTGGGAAACACAGTTCCGTCATAGTGAACACCCCCATCTTCACCTTTTCCCCACAACTCTTCAAAGCACTGATGAATAAAATAAAAGCTTTTAAAACACTCCTTTTGCTGTTGGACTTACTCTTTCAAATGTATTCCAACATGTGCGACTCTCTCGACGACTTTTTGACAAGTGAAGACACCCCCACCATCGACTTCTCCTTTGAAATATTCTCGAAGGAGTGGATGGTCTCTGTGGTCGACAAGTTGTGGGAGGAGCGGTTTAGTTTGAGTGGCGACACGAGTTTGTATTACTCCGTTGACTCTTTTTCAAACTCGAAGATTCGTCTTGTTTTAATGAATTATCAAATCTCCTCGGTGATGCACCGCCTCATGAAACTCCCACATCTCCTCTTGCCAACAACGACAATTATTGTCTTAAATAAACCAAAGAATGAATTGAAGTGGGACCTTGACATTCAAAACGACAATTTGTCTGTTGTCCTCACTTCCTCTGACATTTGCATAGTCAAACAGTTTTGGACTGAATTGATCGATAGAGAAGAAATGAAAGAATCGACGGGAATGTACACAATGAAGAAATACAAAATCGAGCGACGCGGATGTGTTGAAAGAAAGAAGAGGAAGGAATGGTTCAAAGAAGTTCGCATAAAGACTTTGATCGAAATCGTCATCCAAAAAGATGTCAATGAAGGTGACCGCTGGTGGAGTTACCCACTTTTTAAATTCTACTTGGACGACCTCGACATCACACAAATAAAGAACGACAAAGTCGAGAACGTCTATAGTGGTGGGTTGAAAGTGACTCTTCAAAATTACTCTGCGGACTTAGACCGGTGGATTTCAGTCATTGAACCTTCTGTTTTTGTCTTAGGAAATACACCCACACACAGACCAAAGTTGTTTACAAGTGAATTTGACATCAACGTCTTCCCTTCACTTGTTAAAGAGTGTTCGGATTTCTTGATATGTTGTGACAACACGCCATCGACACAGGGAAGATATGACGAATCGAATGATATCACTTTTGAAAACCAAACGCCACTTGACATCGAACTCTCAAGTTGCAATCAGTCGTTTAAAATTGCTGCGTATGCCAGTGGAACAATTATGTTGGATCACACACTTCTAATTTCTGTCAAGAACTTCGCGGAGATCAAAATCGCGTTTGCGACGTGTGAAGCGCCATTAATGCGAGGAGAACGGTACTGCGGGAGTCTCTTATTTGTCGTCCATTTTGGGAAAATTGTCATGTCAAGTTCGTTGAATGTTTTCAATCACACAAGCGATCGCCTTGATTTGATTTTTAAAAGTCGCACAAATCCAAATCCATGTCTTCTTTCACTCTCCAAATTCGAACAGAAAAGTTTTCATCCCGTTCTCACAACAATTCCACTGTATTTCGACTCACACAATAAAGCAATTGAAATCACTGAACGAATCCAAAGACAATTTGTAGGTCGTGTCTTTTCAGAACATTTTGTTATGAAGAACAACCATTACACTCTTCTCGCTGTCAATACAAAACACAACAAAAGTATGATGACTACACTTCACATCTTTAATTCTTTCCAATTCATTAATAACACACCTTATCACTTGACTCTCATCTTAATCGCTGATGCTTTAAAACAAAAGGCTCAGATCAAAGCTAATGATATCACTACTTTCCCACTCCTCCCACAAATCATCAAATTCAAATTGGAAGGACCTGACAATCTTGCACTCTATGAAGAGATCCCAGAGCCACTCAAAGACCCTTGTGTCTTCATTTGTAATGACGTAGTTAATCAAGACGTCGTCTATGACATTTCAGACTCCGTCAAAGGAAAGTTGACGACTCTCGACAACACTCTCTCCTTTGAAATATTTATGACCGGCTTTGTCCGCAATCTGACGCCCCTTCCTCTCCCAATCAACTCAATCGACGTCCCAAATCTGAAGCGCCAATTCCCAATCGCTCGCTACTTCAAAATCCACACTAAACAACTCGACTTCGACTCTTTCGAAAAGACCGACCTTGAAATCCAGACCCGTACCGAGAAGCATCACTACATCGTGACAGTCGAAGACACTCACTTGGACTCTTCTTTCTCGCAACATGAAGTTGAATGTCCCATTTGTGGGATCACCAAAGTCGTCACTGTCCGCCCAAAGTTCTTAGTAAAGAACAAGACCAAATTCACCTTCGAATATGTCACCGAGGAAAATAAAGAGATGCGCATTGCGTTGGAACCTAACGACCAACACGAAGTCTTCTATACCCAAATTTTGGTCTATTTACACAACGTCCCACGACTGATCAATTTGGACGAGACAATCTCCGGTGACGTCTTCTTCGACGGGATCTTGAAAATCGACACCCGTGCCGAACGGAGCGGAAATTACGTGACGGAGATTAAAGGATGTGCCGCGCCGGTCATGCGGATCGAAAACGAGTTGGACGTGCCCCTCCATTTCCATCAAAAGGGGTGTAAAGTGAGTTTTGAGGTGCCGAGTCTGCACGGGCAAGTGATTGCGTGGGAACATCTTGGGAAGGAGAAGATTTTAGTAGTGAATGGAGGGGAGGTGTGTCCGTATAAGATGACGGACCAAAATTTCAGTGTGAAGGATCCGCGGACTAAAGAGGAGAAAACGCTTCGCGTTGAATTCATCAGTGAGAGGGGGATATGTATGAGGATTTGTATGTCGCGAAATATCGAAGAGAATAATGAAGAGAAGAATCATATGGAGTGTACGATGATGGTCATTGGGGTGTCATTGTATGATGCAAATTTAGATGAAGTTCTCTTTTTCAATGGGTACGGGGTGACCGCTATCTATTCCGACAAAGAAGAAAGTGAGTTTGAGATATGTTGTGATTATTTCCAGATTGACAACGTGAGTGCTCACTATGATGACGTGTGCACACTTGTTCGTGCAGATGAAGACCACTTGGATTGGACCGAAGATCCAACTCAAAAAATGATCCACTTTTCGGGACGGTTCAAAGTGTTAGGAAATTATAAGATCTATCTCAGATTCTTGACGTTTAATATGCAATCTTTGAGAGTGGAAAGCGATACAAATAGTATTAATGAGGTGTTAAAAGTCATCCGACAATATCAAGTTCTCGAAAAAGTCAATAAAAAAAGTGAGCAATCGCCTTCCCTCGAATTAATCGCAAACTACTTATGTATCAATCCCGTCAATCTGCACATCAAAATCTCAGGAAAGAGTGTTGACAACCCCGTCCATCCCATATTTAAAAAACTGAGTTCTGTCAGTGCAATCGACTTGAACGTGTCAACCTCAAAGTTCGACGTCAACGAAAACGCTCTTACTATAAAGGAACTAATAAACAACTATAAAGAAACTATTTTAAAGGAGTATGGGATGGGGCGCATCCTTAAAATGCTCTTGGGGCTCTACACCCCATCCCCCATTCTACCCCTCGGAGCAGTTATTTTCAGGATCTCCAATTCAAGTACCTTTGAAGGGGGGAAGTACCTTCCATATTATGTTTTAAAATCTTCTGGTGAATCTCCGATCCAGACGAGTGGGAGGTTAGGTATCCGTGTTGTGAAGTGTTTAGAGACGTGTGTGGAAGACTTTGATATTGACCAAATGAAAGATCGCCGGAAGCCAGGCCGTCGCGGGCTTGTGGATCTTTTTAATCTTCATCGGGAGCTTGGGGTGAGTCTTTGTGGGCAAATCAGTGGATTTAAAGAGTTCGTTGGACTTGTGAATAGAAAGGGAGAGCACTTAATAGCTTTGTTTGTTGAAGAAATGACATGGGGGATTGCATTTGTCGAAAGGATAGTACCTAATAATAAAGTTTTTATAAGGTGGAGTGTCAATGGAAGTGCAATTCAATCAATAAAATACGAAAAAGTCGGGATTTGTTTGACTCTTGGGGATAAAAGTCAATACATTGCTGAGGGATTCTCAAAAAGTAGAATTAATGACGTAAAGGAAATGATTCAAAAAGAGGGAATTAAAATCGAGACGATTCTGTTCGGCTAATTCTTTCAAAATCTCAATCTGATTGAGATTTGAGTTTTTGATAATCGTTTATTTGATAAATCAATTCACTACTTTTTTTATTTATGCACAAGTTTTATATTAATAATTTTATTATAAAATAATATGACGAAAGTAAATTAAAATCATACTATAAAAAACAAAAATTCTCATATAATTCTAAAATAGAATAATAAATATGCCATACAAAAAAAAAACAATTATATAGTTAAGTATATTGTATATAATAAAATAGTATAGTATTTTATTGTACAAAACAAAACTTAAAATAATATAAAAAACTGATTTAATATAGTAACATACTAGTTTTGAAGAAATCAAGAGAAGTATATATTATTTAAGATAAAAAAAGAACTTAAAAATCATAATTTTATAATAAACATGAACCACGCAGTAATTTTGTTATGTGTAGTTCTAGCAGTTCAAAGTGATACTACAAACATGACGCTGGCTCTTCAAGAGGAAATTGAAAGTATGAGCGACGAGTATCAATCACATGTACTCCATTTAGAGCAGCGCATTCGGGACGCATCTCAAAAAGTCGTTGATCTTGAAAATCGTCTACGAACATCGAAAAACATTTTGAATAACAAAACCTCTCAGATTCAAATAGAGGCGTCTGCGATGACGCAAATGATTCAACGAAAACTTTCGGCTGATATAAAAACGCAACATTTTTTGACAAAACGTATCAAACAATCACAAGAAAAGATTTCGATGGAAAAACTCAAAGCAGCCAAATTGTCTCAAAAATCGGGGATCTACAAAATAAAACTTATCACACAAAAAGAGTATGTGAAATACTTGGAGAAACGACTCAAAGCAATCTCGGCGAGATATGGAGGGAAAGTCGATGATCTGAATAATCAAAAAAAGAGCCTTGAAAATCTCTTGAAAAAAGATGAGAAGTGCCGGAACGACGCAAAAGAGATGGAGGAGGTTTTAAAAATCATTGAAACCAAAACGAAACCCGAAAAGAATGAAACAAAAGCGATGATTCAATTGTATCACAAAGTCATGGAGGCAAAAAATCAAAACACGCAAAAGATGGAGGAACTCCACGAAAAAATGTGGGAAGTGGCTAATTATGAAGGGCAAGAAGCTCGTACAAAACGAAAGGAGTTTCAAGATCTGAAGCGAAAGATCTCGAAAAAGATTGAGAAAATTCAGGTCGAGAGAAGGAAGGAGATTGAAGTGGTGGAACGGTTGAGGAAAGAGCTTGAAAGTGAGAAGATTGAGGAATTCGCGGACAAGGAAAAAATCAAAGAAATGACAAGCGAGATCGACAAGCGGAGGAACGAAGCAACATTTAAGGGGAAAAAAATTGAGGCACTTACAAAGAAAATTGCCACACTCAAAGCTACACTTGAGGCGGATATCGAACGAATTGAAAGAGAAAGATTTGAAAAGGCTTTCAAAAAAGTTGCGAAACAAGTGATGATAGGAAAAGAGGCGTGTCAGACATCTGCGAAGGACATTAGAAACCAACGATGGTTATTGAGAAAGGTACTCAACATCGATCTCAGAGAAAAGATGGAAAAAGAAATTGATACGAAAATGCAGGAGTACAAACAACTTGTCAAGGAACTTTACGCGTTTGAAAGGAAGAATGATATGTTGACAAAGAGAAAGGAAAAGCGAACAAGAATGTGGAAGGACGATATGTTCAAGGAGAAGGCTTATCTCAAAAGAAAGATTATAGAACTTGAGGGACTTGCCGAGAAGAGGAAAGCAAGGTGCAGCGGAATTAGAGGGAAGAATGAGAGAAGGTACGCGTTCAAGGCGTATTCAGAAATTGTCAAGAAAATTGCGAAGGAGAAGAGAAAGTTTGAGAGAATTGTCGAAAAGATAAGAGCGTCGCAAGACCAGACGATCGGACACATCGCGAGAGTTGTTGAAAACGTTGGAAAGGAAAATATCAGAATGGACAACGAAAAGAACCAACTCCGAAGACAAATTGAGCTGTACTCCGAGAGAATTAAAGAAAAGATAGTCGAGACAGACGTCCAAATGGAAATTGCCCAAAAGGCTCAAAAAAAATTGAGGATGGCGAAAGAAGAAACAGAAAGAAAAGAAAAGGAGAGACTGGCCAAATTGAAAGCAGTTCAAGACGACATCGCAGCAGTCAAGAAAGAAATTGCAGCGGCCAAGAAGGGAAAGACGGACCTTGACGGTTTGAAGGTGCAGGGTCTTGAATCGAAACTAGATGCGCTCAAAAAAGAGAAGAGAAGTCTCGAAGCAATGGGGAAATCAAAGTCTCTTTTTGAATAAATTGATCGTTTTTTAATTAATAAACGAAACTAATATTTTATTAGATTATTTACTTTGTATTTATTTCGTCTTTTTGATGAATAACGAACTGAGAAACCCCAAAAGGCAATGGCTGAAGAACCGCGTAAGAATGTAAATGTAATATTTGTAGGGATGGCCGGGAGTGGGAAGACAACACTCCTCTCTGCTCTTTCCGAGAAGCTTCCTTCGTATTTGATCAACTTGGATCCGGCTTGTAACGAGCCTCCATATTCTGCAGACATTGATATTAGGGACACAGTGAATTATAAGGAAGTGATGAAGGAATACAAACTTGGACCAAACGGAGCTATTGTCACATCATTAAATTTGTACTCGACGAAGATCGACCAACTTCTTGCTGTTCTGAAAGACAAGACTGAGCCCGTCCTCATCGATACGCCTGGCCAAATCGAGGTATTTACGTGGTCTGCATCGGGGCAGGTCATTGGCGAGGGTTTAGCATTTCAAGGCCCGACGATATATGTGTATGTCGTCGATACTGCGCGCTGTGTTAATAACCCAACAACTTTCATGGCTAATATGACTTATGCGTGTTCGATTTTATATAAGTCGAGACTGCCACTCATAGTAGTGTTTACAAAGACTGATGTAGTTTGTTATTATAATTATTATAATTACTATTATAATATTATTATACTTACTATTTATTAATTACTATTTATTAATAATAAATTAATAATAAATTATAATTTTAATTATAGTCAATGATATTATCAGTAATAGTAACGTCTAGTCGCCAGCAACGAAATTAGAAGAGTGGATGGAAGACTACGATAAATACACAGAAGCGTTGGAAACGCACCAATCGTATTCAAACGAACTTCAACGATCACTGTGTTATGCACTTGAAGAGTTTTATAAGAACATTCTCCACTGCTGTGTCTCATCGAAGACGGGAAGTGGATTTGAAGAGTTAATTAAGAAAATAGAAGAGGCGAAGGGAATGTATTACACGGACTACTATGAACCACTCATGAAGAAGGTTGAGAAAGCAAAAGAAGAGGAGAAGAAAAAGAAAGAGAAGAACTTTGAGAAGTTTGAGAAAGACAAGAAAGAGGAAAATGACATTGACGGAGACTTCTGCGGGTGTGGAGGGATCGATATGTGTGGTGAAAAAGACGAGGGAATTGTCTTCAGAAACGGAGAAAGGTTTTGCTTTGGACAACACCCGGAAGATCAAAGCGATGAAGAAGAAGGGGAGGTGATTGACTTGGATGAGAAGAAGGACAATGTGGACCAGTAAGGTTTGGGGGTGATTGATTGTGAAATTTGATGTTGGTTTTACAAAGAATTTAAGCAATTAGTAGATTACAAACAAGAATTACTATACATTACTATAATATACTATAATATACTATAATATACTTTCATAGTACTGAGTTATAGTATAATATAGTATAATATAGTATAATATACTTCTAACCATATATCTCATTCATGCATACAATTATTTGTCCACACTTAAGATGGCGTTTCCCGTTTTGTGGCTTTTTATTATTATTTTTCTTACATAAACGAACAATATTTTACAGTTTTTAACCAATTTAAACAATTTAAATCTGAAAAACTGTGATTGTTTGACAAAAAAATTGTTTATTTATATTTAAATGAAATAATAGCAAAAAAAATTATATTTAATAATATAAAGTGGACAAACAGACAGATTTAATTTTTAGTTTTATTATATTTTATTAACTGAAATAATTTATTTTGAACCAAATAGAAAGCCATAACAAGTTTTTTTTTATTTTTTAAACAAGACTTGAAGCAAAACCATAGTCAAAAAAATTTCATCATTTTGATTGATTAAAACATAACAGAGAGATAAATGGCTACAATTTGGTTTAAAGTTGAAATTACTGAAAATAAGTAAGGCTTGACATAAATTCAATATCCTCACAAGAGCCAAACGCAAGTTATTTTGAGCTATAAAGAGTTAAACAACGATAAAATATTTGCTTTATAGTATTTGTAACAATACACTAAAAAGAAAATATTCAAGTAAGTTTACTATTTCAGAGAATGATATTCTAATTTCGGGTGGGTATCACTAATATCAAGGGATAATGAGTTTATTGGCATTTTAGACTAAATTAATGTATGATTTTTAATAACATCAATTTTTATTTATAAAAAGATATCCAATTTGTATAAAGTTCTATAAATTGTTCTGTTCAAAACTTCTAAAAACTTTTGGTGTGAATAAAAAACAATGGGGGTTAAATAGTATAGTTTATTATAGCATATATACCATATATCATAATTTAATTGTTCCGGTTATATTGACATCATTGAACATTTTTTTTGTTGTGCATTAGTATATTAATATTTCTTAAGTCGGCAATTATTAATTTTGGGGTAAATTAGGTGTTGAAGTAATTGGTATTTAACGCAAATTAATTCAATATGGTAATACACTGTAACTTTTTGTTTGATATTGAATTAAGTTGTTCAACCAATTATATAGTTTCTGTTTGTATTAAGAATTATTTTTACTATTTTGAATGTGACTGGAAATGGTCCTTCGTTAACCAAATATTAATAACTTAATATTACTACAATTATTATTAAAAAGGACAATTGATAATTATTATAGTTAAACTTAATTATATAAAACAATTAAAATAAATTAACGAAAATCAACATCCAAAATAAAATACAGTTCTAGTAGTTACTATATGCGATATCCTACTTTTCACTGTAATTCAGAACGATTTGCAGTTTTGGAACATTCTTCATTCCAATAACCAATCTTTTATTACTCCAAATTTTTTGAATTCCACACTTATTTTCTTTATATACACTTTCAAATTTGTCATTCCTGAAGACATTAAAATAAAGGGTGATATATTATGTCTTTTTAGTTGTTCAGTTAACAATTGTTGGATTTAATAATATCAAAGGAAAAAGATGTTCTCAATTGACTCGTATAAAGCAAAAGTTCTATAAAGCGTTAAAAATGGTTTTTAATGTCTTGATAAAAAAGTGTTAATAGAACAAGCGGTTGGTGCGAAAAAAACAAAAACAAAAGTTATGTGGCTTTCAAACCAAAAAGATATAGTATCCCACAACCACCTCCAATTTTTTTGTGGGCTTTCATATTAAAACTTGATGATTCATCCTTATTTATATTGTTATTTCTATTAAACATAACTATTAAACGCCACTTAATTAAACGGACAGACAGATCATACTACCACTTTGCTATAATAGCGTTAAATGCTGAATTGGAAGCGATGTATTTTTTAAAAGTATTTGTAAACCCGGTTATTTTTTAAAAAGTTAGCTTGCCGGTTTATAAATAAAAAAATACAATATAATGTGAAACCCCCAAAAATAATAGAAAGAGCTTTTTAAAATCTTTTGATTTTATTAAAATTTAAATAGAAAAGGTCTATATAAAGGATTTTATCGCTCAAAATCACAAGGTTCAAAGAGATGTGTTATATTGTTTGCACGTTCTTACTTATGTTGTTCACTTTAGTGTATTCATTCCAGTGTTCTCCGGGATGTCCAGATGGCTGTATTACCCAGTACACATGTACTGGAGAATGTAAGACTGAGTATGACAATGACCGTTCTTGTAATTATTGTCGATTTAACAATCCGTATCTTGATACATCAGATGTGTACATTACCAATGGTACTGATTGTATATTAAGCACAAACAAAATAATTAAAGCTGATGGCTCTTGGTTACCACCAGAAGAGTATCTAACGGAAGTTTATTTGAATCAACCCATCAAAGTTCGAATTGACCAATATAGTTATGTTGATTATGGGTTCTGTTCAAAGGAGAAGAAATACAATTTGGGGCAATGGTTTAAGTTAAGAGCAGACTCTATCACTACAGACCACTTCTTAATTGTTATCACAAAAGAAAACAACACAGACTACGAGTTAACATCTGCAGTAACAGAATCCCAAAGAGGACAAAGAAAGAATTGCTATGGGTACACCGTCATGCCGGAAGAAAAGAAGTACTACAGACACCAAATCCCCAATATATTACGAGACAATATTACCGATTTAAAATATTATTATATCTTTCTAAGGACAAAAGACTACGCATTTGCAGACTTCTATTTGGAAATTGCAGAACAAGAAGGACGACTTGGAAGAGTTCTGAGGGAGTTCAACCAAAGTGATATAACTCCACTCGCCGTTGATCTCGATAAGAAAATCAGTTGGGATATCGACTTTGCTGATGTTGCTATCACTGGCGCGCCCGCGTGTATTCCACAGACTTATATGGAGTTGGCAGTTTTTGAAATAGAATTCAATGGGAATTACACTGTCCTTCTAGACGCAAGAAAACAGAATAGAATATGTTATTTACAAGAATACATACAAGAAAAAGACGAAAACGGTGCTATACGAACTACTTGTGTTCAAGCTTGGGATGGAAAGAGGTATGGTGCTTATAAGGATATCGACAATGAAGGCTTTCTTGTAAGAATTAAAGGAAGTGATAAAGGGAAACGAACGTTTGCAGTCATGACCAATGACCAAAAAGCTTTAATCACACTTGAGATATCAGTCGTTTGTCCAGATGATTGTCACCATGAAAAGGGGTATGGGTCATGTTCAACTCGTGAAGGGAAGTGTGTTTGTAATGATGGATATGGTGGGTTTGTTCTTTGATATAAATATTATTTACACTTTTTATAATGATATACAAACTATTCTATAAATACAAATGTTATGATTATAAATATAATTGAATAACATGTAGAGACAATTGTCATAGAAAATGTTACGACAAAGGAACGTGGAATGAAGACTCTAATGGAAAGTGTTTATTTGATTCACTCTTTTGCGACCAATACTGTAAATGTGAGCCGGGAACAACACTCAAAAATCACCTGTGTATTTCCTCTCAATGTACAAGTGGGCACATCATTGGAGATATGTGTAAAATTGGTGGTGACGGCTGCAGAGAAAATTGTGAATGTAATGCTGAATTGGGGTTTTTCAGTGATGGGCAAGGAAATTGTAAACATGAATTGTGTGGAAATGGAAAAATAGACACCAACCCATTATTTACAGAAGAGTGTGATGGTGGTACCAATTGCAACTTGACTTGTTATTGTGCTGAAGGGTATGTGACAAATCCAACGGATAAAAGAAACTGCTACAAACCCTCTATTACTACTAGTGGGATTTTGGGCATTGTCTTTGGGTCTATAATAGGGTTTATTGTTGTTATCCTCGTACTTATTGGTATTATTGTTCTTATTGTTAAAACAGATAAAGTGTCTATTGAAACATTTAAACAGCAGCAACCGATATATTACTTGTATATCAATGGCTCATCTAAAAAAGAGCCTTCAAAACTCTCTAAATATGAATTGAGTCCAACTTCTTTGGACTTTGGAAACGATGAAAAAGCGACTGATATTGGCGACACCCGATTTGAAAGGATGGAAATTAAAAATAGAAGTAGGAACAAATGGTTTGTTATTTTCATTTACTATTTAACATGTGTATGTCTTTTTGGTTACTGTTATTTTTACAAAAGTATTGAAAGGTATTGATCAATAGGATGATGATCATATTCCATGTACCCGACTGCCCAAAATACGTCTTTCACTTCGACCCTCAAGTCTTTATTTTAAGACCAAATTCATCAGTTAAGACAATGACTGCATATTTGACTATTCATTGCACAACAAGAATAAGAGGAATGAAGATACCTTATACAGTGTGGTTCTCCAAATCCAAAACTACACTCCATTCAATTGCTGAATTACTGAAGAACAAGACATTTGATAATTGGACGAATGATGATGCAAAGCAAATGGAAAAATTGAAGAAGAACATTTTAACACAATCGTATTACAACATTACCATCACGACAGATGCAGCAAGTTCGACTCATATTGATCTAGATGAATTGAATATTTCAGAAAAACCAATAGCAGAAGGAGCAATGGGTCGGGTGTATATTGGGTATTACAGGAGTGTCCCTGTCGCTGTAAAACAGTTTAGATGGGAGAATTTGGATGAAGAGGAGATGAAAGAGTTAAAAAAGAATGTTATTCAAGAGTGTGAGATTATGAGTAAATTGAGGAATCCGTTTATTGCGAATTACATGGGATCGGTGACATATATCCAACAAGTATCTATGGTGATTCAGTTCTTTGTACTTGGCTCATTGGGAGAGTATTTACGTAAAGAAAAGGAGGATTATGTAGTTCTACCATACAAGTTGAAGGTACGAATGTTATTTGATACTGCACGAGGTATGCAATTTTTACATGAGAATCGAATTATGCATCTTGACTTAAAGCCTGAGAATATGTTAGTCAATTCATTTGACTTTAACAGCGCCTGCACTATCAAAATCACAGACTTTGGGACGTCAAGATTCACTAAGAAAACGTTGAAGAAAAATAATGAAGACAAAGGTCTTGGTACACCTATTTATGCTGCACCTGAGACTTTTACAGATGAATATACATTTGCAGGTGATGTCTATTCATTTGCTATAACTGCTTGGGAAGTCTATTACCAAGAAGAGCCTTATAAGGATTTCAAATCTATATTTGAAATTAAAAACCACGTCGAGAGTGGAAAACGACTCCCTTTAAAAGATAATATGCCTTCTCTTTATAAAACAATGATTGATGAATGTTGGAAACAAAAGCCTGAAGCAAGACCGAATTTCGACCACGTAACTAAGATGATTGTCAGAGTCGATGATGATGTTGTAAATCACACTCATTTGGATTGCGGATTCGAACAAGACAAGATCGAAGGACTTATTGAAAATAGAACTAACAGACTTAAGAAGCAACTCAGTGAAAATAATGCAGACTAATTCTAAAATGTTTTTTGTTTAGTTTTGTTTATTAATAAAGTCTAATTTACAATTATTAATGTTCTATTATTATATTTACTAGTATCATAATTATAATTATTTAGAATAAAATAGTTTATAATATATAGTTATTGAAATTAAAAATAGAGTATATTAAAAATATAATATGACAATTAAAATATATATTTAAATTATATATTTTAACTATATTTATAAAAAAAATATATATTTAAAATTATTTTAAGGTGATTGAGTTTTAAAAAAGCAACACACACAAAAATATATTTAAAACCTATTTTGAGAAAAAAACCAAAAGTGAATTAATAATTGAGAATTAATAAAAAGTATTATAAAACTATTATAAAAAACATTTAAAAAATAAATTTATGCAGTTTTGAAAAAATAATAAACAAAACCCTATTTTTCTCTCTTTTTCTTCAATTTGAAAAAAGAAAAAAGAGAAACATCGACGCAAATTTTGTCTTTTTCAGATTATTTATTTGCATTTTTTTTTAGTAGACCCACAAACTTATTTAATAGTTTAAAGTATAGCATTGTAATTATATATTATAGTACATTGAATAAAACACAATCTTTTATCTTCACATTACTTATCTTCTTTAGATACTAAAAATATTTATCATTTCAAACAATCCCAATTCTCCCGTTTTCTACCATCATTTTTTACTCAATTTTACTATAAAAAAATCTAGAAGCTTGAAACCCTCAAAAAAATAGACTTTTTCCACAAATTGTACTTTTCCTCAAACAACCACCCAAATGGGGTTTTCCATTTTCCACAAATCGTGGACGCCCCGAGGAGTATTTAAAGAAAAACTTAACTCAGAAAGTCAATGCCCGTAGTTTTTACTACGAATAGTTCGAACGCTAAGAAGACGTCCTTTTTAATTATCACCGGAGGAGTGGGCGTGGGGAAGTCCACATTGATCACACGCCTTCAAAAGATCTATGGAGAGCAGATAGGAGTGATCAAAGAGTTCATTGATTACTCACCGGAGAAGGGGAAAGCGTACTTGGAGGACTTTTTACATTGCCGGATGAATTGCTTTGAGTTCCAGTCGTTCATCTTAGACTGCTACAACGCACAACTGAAAGACTTCTGTGGGACGAAACGAGTTGTTGTGATGGAAAGAGGTCCTTTCGACTCCGTCGGAGTCTTCACACGACAGTCGTTGAATGACGGCGGAATATCACAAGAAGGGTATGATAGACTTATTCAACGAGTTAGAGAACTAGAAGTCCAATATGGTATCCCATCATCATCACACTTGAAAATAGAAGTCAGAGATATGGCTACTTTGTCTGCTCAAAACGTATTTGATTCTTTGAAAGGACTCATCTTTAAAACAGTGGAAACAAGAGGAGATCTTTTGATGTACCTCTATTCGTCTAATCCACAGAAACAATTACAAAACATCGCTAAGAGAGGAAGACCAGAAGAAAGAAACTATAACGTCGATTATATGCTCAAGATAAATCAAGCTTATGCTGATCTGTTTGCTAATAGGATGTAATGTATTTCTGTTTTAACTGTTTGAGTTATTTAAGTCGTTACCTCTTGTTATTGGTTTATCAATAAATAAATTAATTGCCCTATTTCTTTTATTAAAAATCGTTTAAGTAACACTAGATGTATTATGTTATTATAATAATTTAATATATTATTTATATATAATATTATAATATTATAATACTATTACATATTAAAAGTGTTTATTATATTTTATTATATTTTATTATATTATTATTGATTTACTTGGTGATTATGAAGTAGAATGTGTATGGTTTAATAGAGCGAAAAGGCGTATAAAAAGACGTTAAATTATAAAAGTGATGGTCAAGAATGGTGATAAATGTCACTTGTTGCTGTTTTCTCTTCTTGAGCTTCTATACGTGAAAGAGAGACTCTTGGAGGTGTTCTGACAATCCAAAGTCGTCTTTGGCGCTCTTCAAATTTCTTCTTTTTGAGGTAATTTTTGTCAGCTTCACTCTCTAATTTAGCCATGAACATCTCCATGTTCTTTTGAGCTAAAAGGTATGTTTCTGTAGTTTCACATTTAAAGTAGAGTGCTAATAAGCTTATGAGTTCAAGCTTTTCTCTGTAATAAAACATGTTGAGAAAGATTTGATGACGCATCCGCTTTTTTGGTATTTTATTCATATAGAACGTGTCTTCGGCAGCTTCCAAAGCAGCTGGAATTGATTTTAAATAGTAACCATATCCTTCTTTAATATTTTCTGTTTGATACAATTGAATAATATTTTTAAGAAAAATAATGAACTCTTCATATGTTGCAGTTTTCTCTTCTATGATCTTAGCAAAGAACTTGTGGTTCTCCATCTCTTCGTTTTTAATTCGAAGGACTTTGTCTGCAAATTCAATTGGAAATTTGATTCCTTTACGTCGAGCTCGATTTTGAAGAAAGTGAAGATCACGCATGAACAAATCGTGGTGTTGTTCATATAGCATAAGTCGGTCAATAAACTCTTGTGTTGGAAATGGTTCTTCGTCTGTTTCTAAAACTGTTTGATGAACTGGACTTTGACATCTTGAACTTGGTAAGAGACACTCCTTAATTTTTTGGCCAATAGTCTTTTTAGGACTTTGAGGAAAAGCAGTTGGGTAGTCAACTTCATCTGCACCTCCTGTTGCACCTTCTTCTGGTGGAGTAATAACTATTTGTGGAATTACATGTTGTGGAGGCTGCTGTGTTGGATGTTGTACTGTATGTTGCATCTCTTCTTTAGGGGGTGGAGTGTTTGGTTTGGGGGGGTCCATCGAAAAGACCGTAAAGACATGAAGTATTAAAATAAGTAATCGAGTCATACGCTAGCACTGTAACTATTAATTATTTTTCACAACACTTATTTTAATTTGGATTTCAATCTTCACTGATACAGTTCAATCACCATTTAAAAACAAGTCATTTAAGGAAAGAATGTAGTCATTACCCTCTATTTATATCCTCTACTTTGCATGTTAGATTCCACTTAATAATCTATAAATATAACATTTAATATCTATAAATATTTATTCAAATACTACTAAGAGTTACTAATAATATTCAACATTAAAGCTGAAATTAGTATAGATAACATATTATATCAACAGGATCTATTCTTCCACATAAACCAAAAGTATTGCACTTAAATGACTTATTTTGAGTCTATAACACATGTAATTGATTCTGCCAAGTCCACCAATATCTTCTTCTTCTTTTCATCGACAAACCTACACACTTCTCTTATTATTATCCACAAACTATCCAACAAAGTACCGTCTTTCTTTCTCGCGCCTTCTATCACCATCGCTTGCAAGACATAAAACATAACTCCCAACGCTTCTTTATACCTTTTTTGTTCGACTTCTTCTTTAAACAATAGATATGCATATGGGTGATTCTCCAACTTCTTGCCTTCTATCTTATACATTGCCTCAAAACTATTGCACATATCTTCTTCTGTATCACCAATCCGATGATCAAGTTGGACATAATCGACATTATACAACTTTTTTAGCCATTTCTTTGTATTATCAAGTATCGAGGACAGTGCCTTTGTCCCTTTGCCGTCGTCCTTGACGTTGAACCTGCCCTCTTCCAACACAATCAAAAGTTTTGTTTTCAGTTCACTGACGTAGTCAATCAGCTTTTCTTGAACAAGAAACTCCGTCTTATATTTTTCCAAATTACTTTTCAGATTAGTATAAGTGTCGTTCATCACATTATTCTCTGGTGTTGCTGTTGTATTATCCATATGACAGAAAAAGTTATATTGCGATTCCTTAGTCGTGTTATTTACACAAAAGAAGAAATTTGCTATTATAATTGCGACGGTGTAATTATCGACCTTTCTCTTATCCTTTTCCACAAAGAAATTTGGCGGGCAATTCGCTAAAGTGACATTTTCCGTTAGTCCTGTGATAGTCTTCGAGAGAACAACCCCGCTTCCAAAATCTCCTATAAAAGCTCTTCCTTCTTTAATGAACGTGTTCTCCATCTTATAGTCCCTATGGAGTACCCCGACTTCCTTCAAATTGAAGACGGAGGTAATGATATCTGCTATATACATCAACGCGTGTCGACTCTCCTCTACATCTTGGAAGACGACGTTCCTCCTCCCATTGATGTAATTATAGACATTCTTCTCGTACAACTTCTGCACGATGATTTTGTGCTCGTCGCACTTCCCGACAATCTCCGTGACATTTGGCTCATACCTCAAACTACTCAAAAGGTGCATTTCCTTGTAATAACTAGCATCCCGCGTGTGTTCCGGGTTATTCACTGTATTATCGACGATAAAGAACTTCACCGCGACGTCGAGATATCTCTCATCGACAAGATATCTCCCTTGGAAGACTTGTCCAAAGGCCCCGCCGCCAAGGTGTTTTGGTGTTCGTTGGTTTGGGGTACTCGCGAAGTACATCTTTTGATATTGTTGATGTTCGGTGTAAACTATTTTCAAGTCGGTGACGGGGAAATAATCGCGCGCGTCCGAAGTCAGCACTTCTAACTTGTCTAAGTCAAGCTCATCACCACACTTCAATGAGTGGAGGTGGTTGTAGTAATCGCTCTTCTTAATTTGATAGAAGTCCGTCGCGGCGTTGAGTTCGACTAAGAAATTTGCGATACGGAGACACGTGTCATAGCGATACCCACAAGCCTTTAAAAAGCTTTTTATAAACGCCAAACAGTCTGCGACGGTCGATTGTTTGATCTTTTCAATCTCCTTCTTTTTAGGCCAAAAGTCGTTGTCGATGTGTTTCGTTGATTTCTCTTGTGTTATAAAAAAAGTGAAGGTGGGGGAGTGCACGTCGAGCCAAAAACAGACATCGCCAAAGGCACTGTATTTTCCTCTCTCGTCGTAAATATAAAAGTCTTCAAGAGTCACTGGAGGCAATTTTGTTGTGATGAAGAGTGTTAGAATGTCATATAAATAGGACTCGATCTGTGGGATTTTACATGGAGTGGCAAAGGAAAGGTGATGACTTTGAATGGCAGAAGTCAATGAATAACTGATGGCGGGTAGATAAAAAGTAGTGATCCCACTTTGATTTAAAGTTACCCGAGCAGATAATGGTTTTAATAAATCGTTTGAAAGAGTATATGGCAAGAAGACTACGGGAAAGTCCTCAGTCGACTGCTCTTCGATTTTGGAACAAAAGGTGAATGGCGTGTTATAGACATCATTCACACATTTAGTGTGTTTCACTTCATAATTGTAATGTGAAGTAGTAAAAGAGTTGGGTTGTTCAGTTGAAATTGACATCTTAAAACAACTAAAAATTGAATACTTTTTAAGTTGTTTTGTTCATTTTTCATAATGAAGTTTGAAATATCGACATCAAAAAATTTCAATTTTTTTGGTTCATTTCAAAGAAAAGAGTCCAGTCTTTTTTATATGAAACTGGCTATTCAAAACTGAACTATTTAATTGTTTTGAATAAGTCATTGAATGATGATTCAAAAAAATTGGAAAAATGATTTTAATTTTTAATTTTTTTTTTATTGTTGAATAATTTGTTTTAATTTGTTATTAATTAATTATTAATACAATTTTTCTATTAAATTTATTGTATCAAATATTATATAATATTTATAAATTTTTATAATAGATTGGTAATTATAAATATCTATCCAATATAATATTAGTTTTACTTTGATTTTAGCTAAAGTAAAAATAAAAGATGCATTATAATTAACACAATTAATTAACATAAAAATAAATCGATAGTGATGAAAAAGGTATTTTTTATTTGTTAACATTGAATAAAGGTTTTATTGTATACAAATTCTTATTCAATGTTTGTGTCATTTATTACCATTCACAAATGACGAACTGTTGTTACTCTTTCTGTTTTTTATTTTAAACAAAATAAAACACATTGCAAATCTCTTCATTTTATTAAAACAAATAAACGTGTTGTCAAGTAAGTAAATTTAAGTGCAAGGTTGTTTAAAGTTGAAAATATTAAAAACATACTATTCATCTTGTTTAACAAAAATCATCAATAACACAAATTAAGCATAATTGTATTGAATATTGCATTGTAGAATTAAGTAAAATGGTTTTTTTATTCAAAATGTTATAACATAAGTTCAATAAATGTAATACTAATGTTAATGTAACAATGAACTCTGTAACTGGTTGTTTCCTTATTTTAATTATTAAGAAATACATGATATGCTTTTATTAAAAAGAATATTAAATGACATCAACAATATGATTCAAAGAACACAATTAAATTTCTTGACCTTTTTTGTACCATTAATGTGTTGGCTATATATTTTGTTGAAATGTTAAAATATGAAACAAATAACAATGTTTTGGTCGTAGAATCAAGATGTTATCAATTGTTAATACTTCAAAACTATGAAATAAGTACGACACTTAAATGAAATGTCTGATTTTGATATTTGATTATAATGATATTGTACTGTTTTTGGTCATTCCATGCACAAAACAGTAGAGTATTTTGATACTATCACAACAATTTGAACACTTCAATAAAGAAAATGTAAAAATAAATCTTAATATAGTCTTCCTCATTAAAATTTCACTTCCAATTCGGTTTTTATATATGAAAAAACATCTTATGAAACTTAAAAATCGAACAATGACCCTCCGTGTGATCACTGGTAATCCAAACAAAGCGAAAGAAATTCAGCAGATATTAAGTGACATCAACTTGCATATAGAAATTCTTCCGCTCAATCTTTTAGAGATCCAAGGGAGTCCTCTAAAGATAATAGAATACAAAGCCAAAGAAGCGATCAAGCAGTCGACGACTCCTGTGATAGTTGAGGATGTTTCATTTAATTTGAAGTGTCTTGGTGACAACCTTCCTGGCCCATACATCAAGTACTTTGTTCAGAGTATAGGTGCTGAAGGGTTGTTTAAAATAGCTGATGGTTTCAAAGTCTATGAAGCTCAAGCCGTTATTTCTATTGGAATAATTCGGTCGATAGATGACAAAGTCGTCTCGATTCAATCAATCATCGAAGGAAAAGTCGTCAAACCACGCGGACAAAATGGGTTTGGCTTCGATGGGTGTTTCGTGCCAAATGGGTATGACAAGACGTACGCCGAGATGTCCGATGAAGAGAAAAATCTCTGCTCGCACCGTGGAACAGGGTTTCGAAAACTCGCGGAATTTTTAAAGAAGAACCCTACCTACTTATCAGAGAAAATTAATTGATTATGTGATGGTTCTTTTATTATAGTTATGTAATACAAGATTTTTGTCAATTTGTATTAGTAAATAAACTATTGATTATGCAATTTTGTAGTACTGCTATTGTAACTAAACATGTGTATTAAAAATACTATAATAATATAGTACAATTTTATTACTAAAAAAATTATGATATATTAATTAATATAGTATTATTTGTCAAAAATAAGGAGATGTATGGAATGAAACAAATACATACAGATAGTAGAAAAATAGGGTGTCAAATAAATTAGGGATTAGTTAATGTAAAAAAATGGGTTTCGTTTTTTTTTATTTTTTCCCCTCCCAAAAAAAAATGAAAAACCATTGAATAACTCAAAATCAATCTGACACCCAATTTATTCTTGACACCCAAATTTTCTACTATCTGTAGATGTAGTGTTTTTATAGGTTATCAACAACTTGATCTTGTTGTTAAGATTAAACTGTTGGAAAACACGCTTTTTTATTTGAAAAAAAATTACAAGTCGAAGTCAAGTCTAAATTTGGATGATTAAATATGGTTAAAATATAGTTAAACTGAAGAACTCTTGAGATTTTGAAATAGAATATGAAAAAACTTGAAATAGAAATGCTATACTGTTTATGAATCAAACGACAGTGGTCATAATTTGTGCAACATCAATACTATTTACTTTTCTTTACATTATGGGCCTTATCATTTTACTCGCCATTTTTCTCTCGAGGACATCTAATTCAACGAAACAGCCTTTGTAATTTATTAGTTGTAATGTTGTTTGTGATGTATTCTTGTATAGTTTGCTATTGTTAATTTTTTATCATTTATTTACTATACAACAAATCAAATTGTTTTAAAAACTTAAAAAACAGATGGAGGAAACTGAACTTAACAATGCGAAAACGACTGAACCCCGCGAGACAATTTCTCTTATTAACGACAAGATAACATTTTCAACGTACATTGACGTAACACCGGATTTTTGGCTTGTGTTTGGAGACACCACCATAGCTTTTGTCGGGAGGCGGTTGTGTGCGAATACCGGGAAATCAACGATGGTTTCTGTGAGCGAGAGGATTTCCAACATGGAGTATTCGACTGCAAAATACTGTACAAGCGATTGTCGCGCGGTTGTGTTTTCCCCTGTCAGTGTCGAATGTTATATATTCCAGGAGAACCATTTAGATCTTGTGTGGTCTGCATCACAGACAAACTTTTCTTCAATTGGCCTTGGGAAGTTCCAGGACAGCGCCATTTACGGTGATACGCTCAGGGTTATTACAGACGAAGGTGTTTTGGCCGTTTTTGATTTCACCAACACGTCCCTTCTTTTTCAGAAGAAAGTAGCAGACATCGGAAAAATTAAAATTGCTTCTGGTGACGACAAGACCATTTGTCTCATCGAAGAGAACCTGAACGCCATTTGTCTCCGTGTGGACGCAGAGCATGACGAGTACCAAGTCCTACGCAATTTCAATATCAGTTTGTTTTTCCTTCCATTTTCTGTGCTTAAATATCTCACCATTTCTCCATTTTTAATCACCCTTAAACAATAATAAAAATACCAACAATTACTAGTATCTCATTTAATTAAGGTATACTATACTTACTCATATCAAATAATACAAAAACAATTCAATGAGGTAATGACGGAAAGAGCGGCGTGTGACGATACTTTTGAAAGAGGGCAGTGACTTTTTGCAAGACGTCCACGTGGTGTCGACCCGTGACGGGTTTGTGATGTACGACGACGTTGACCTGATTGAATATGACATGGTGACTGACGTGATGCATTCGTATTCCGGAGTATGTAATGTTGTATATGTGAAGGTCGACAGTGATTTTCTGTATTGTGGTTCGAGGGGTGGGGAGTTCACGGTGATCGATCGGAGAACTCGAAATGTCGCACAGAACTTGAAATTGAAAACCGAGGCGAACAATGCGATTGTGGAATATAAACTTAATGAAGATAATAACATCCTCTATTTTAGTGACAAAAAAATGATGTATGCATTCAACGACTTTAAAATGTATTTGCCTTTAGGTCCCGAAAAAATGGAGGAATCGTGAGTACTAATTTAGAATGTGTTTTATTAGAATTATAGGTTGGGTTTTTAAAAGTTTCATACGACATATTGTAGTTTTGTTCTAATTTGATCGAAGTTAAAATTAAATGTACTAGTTTTTATGGTATATTTATAATATTGTCTTTGATAAAAAAATGTAGTTTTTAAATTATTTGGTTATAGTACTGAGTTATAGTATTAAAATATGGTTAAAATATAGTAAACAACTATTAATGACTATAGTCATGGTAAAAAAGGTTGTTGAGTAAAAATGGTTGTTGATTGAATAAAGGTTCGGTTTATTTTTACATTTCAATAAAATTTACACTTATAGTGTACCTTTAATTGAAGTTGTTTTCCCTTCAAACAGAACGAAAAAGAACATATTATTCAAATCAAAACGAAAAAAAAATAAATAGAAAATGAAGGGAAAAAAGATTTCTTCTCATTTATAAACAATAACAAAAAACAATAACAAAAAGATGATAAAAGTTTCAATTAGATGAATGCTCTAGTCAATGGCAAGAGTATTTTATGCTTTAAACAAGTAAAAAGCCAATCATCAAAAGAAACGCTAAACCTATACGGTCAACACCTTCTGTATTAACAAAACGTAAACAAACTCCACAATTCCACCTTTTTGACAACCAGTATTTGTTCAACTTAAGCAAATAAAGCTATCGATAAACACATTGAATAAAGAGAAATAAAAAAACAAACAATAATAAGCAGTCGTGAAAAAAAAGATTGTCGATGTTATAATAATTAAGGAAAATGCAGTTGTTACTTAAACGCGATTAAATAATAAAAATATCAGTTTAATTGATCTGTTAAATATGTAAAAATCAGAGTTGATTTGTAAAAACTTAAAGGTTACAAGATGTCATAATTTGACAATTGTATCAAAAAGACGTTTTTAAAACCATATTTTTATTTTTTAAACTTAAATAATATTAACAATGATTGAAGAATAAAAATAAATTTCATTTTAAATTCCTTTTGAACTTGTGTACTTTAATTAATCTTACAGGTCAGCCCAACTTAAATTGAAATTATCAGAAAATAGTCAAAAAATAAATCAAACATAACACAAATTTTCAATCATTTTGAAGTGCCTTCGTTTTTATCAATGTTTAAGTTGCTTCTTCTTCCAGGAAAGGCAACAGGAACTACACAAACCTGTTCGCCCAAAAACTCTCGTATTCTGAAGGCATACTCCCTACAGTAGAAAATTCTGACATCATAAGTACCCTCTTTTTCTTTTCCAATTGGCTTTTTTACGTAACCACACATGTGAAAGGCTGAGGTGTTGTTGTTGTTTACGCAGGCAATTTTGAACGATTGGATGATTTCAACGACTCTTTTTGTGACCATACAAACAGACAACTCTTCCAACTTAGCAGCATCTATTGCACCATCTTGATCCTTGAGTTCTAAAATTTCCATTTTTCTTCGCTTTGTAGCTTTCTTGACTTCATCTTCAACATCATCCTTTTGAGACATAACACCAACGGGGCACTTCATACCAACAAGTCGAGAAACTACCGAAGAACCCATTGCTCTCTATATGTCAATAACAATAAAAGAAAAGTAAACATGTTAACAAGACTTATAAAGGCTTTGAATAATAATATTATTTCAGTAATTTCTCTCATAATAAAAAACAAACTTTTTGAACGCCAAATATGACGACGTCCAGTGGCTGAGACAAGTGGCTACTGTGTGGGCACAATAATAATAAAGCCACTTTATTTTCGAACAGCCACTTTCTAGCACCGTCTTTAATGTGGCTAACACAGTTGTCTTGTATTAAAACCGCCCATTCTTGTGGGCAATTTTTTCTTCTTAATTCCAGTTCTGGTTTAAGACATCTTTCAAGCCACAACGTGTATATGTCTTCCGTAATGAAGGATTTTCGTTGATATGCAATTTCAACATCATCTCTGTCTATGTATCTGTCGATTTCATTTTTCATTGTCAAGTTTGATAGTATGATCATTGGTTTCAGCGTGGTGTTGTTGGCAAATATTCCTGCAATCAGTGTTATGCGTTTTTGAGAGCGATCAACAGAGTAAGAGTTGGTGTAGTCATAGTTGTCGTCAACATAAAAGTTGCTCCTTTTTGAGTCCACAAATGGACAATAACCACTTTCGTCCATGTTGATAAGGAGGGAGGGTTTAACTCCATTCAAGTGGACAACTCTTTCGCCGGCATATTGTTTGTCATTGTTCAACAAATCAACAGCTCTAGTTTCATAGCTTCTTAACTCATCTTTACTCAGCTCAGCTCTCTCTTTATCCATTGGTTTTGCAATCTTCTTAATTAAACCCTCCCTTCTCAAACTGTTTGCGATGGTTCTTTTTGATACTTTCTTCCCAACAACTCCTTCTACAACATTTCCCATCTCTTTAGTGGTAATTGGTTTGGTGGTGTTTTGTCTTTCTCGAATTGTTTCTAACAACAACGGCATCCTCGATTGATTAATTTCTCGTTTTCTTCCAGACTTCCCTTCGACATCGTCATACAAGTTGTTGAGGCGGGCCGTCGAGGGTGAGACACCCAACACTTTGGCTTTCGTTTCAATTGAAACCTTTTCAAGCCATTTTTCACTTCTCAACAATTTCATTTGTTGTTGGATTGTTAGACATTCCATGATTTCTGTTGCATGGGTTTCACAGAAATCTAATAAATCACAGCCACGACCTGATTTGGTACTGTGGCGCAACACGCTCAAATCCAATTTTTTTGAAGCGGGTTTTCGCTGTGGTTTGGACATGATTATTGAGTTCTGAAACCAGCTGTATTTATTAATTTTATTATAAATAATGGTTAATTTTATTAATAATTATAATTTGAAGTGTTTCGAAAAATTATCTTTATTCTTTCCCAACAATTTGACATCTAATCGCAATATATTTTTATACTTATTGGATGATTTCCTGTTTTTTTATGTAGCAATTGACTCTTTATTTTCTATTTTTCATGTTCTCAAGAAAATAAATTTAAAAAACGATTGTGTGACCATAACTTTGATACTCATGATTGTGTATAGTTTGCTTCCAATACAAATGTCGTTTGTAATAAAGAGGAGTACTCAAATTTAACAATGATATAATTTTTCAATTTCATTTCTTATTTTACTCAAAAAATGAAAGGGGGTGAAAAAAAACACTTTCATTTTCTTTTTTTGATAAACAACAATGATTATGAATAATGTAATATCTATAATGTTCAATAAACAGCTCTTAATGTTATACAATTGACAACCAATTGTAATACTGTCAATTATCGTTTTTATGATTATCCTTGGTTGTGTTCTATTTTTCGAACATGGTGAAAAAAAGCACTTTCATTTTTTCAGAAACTATATTAACTATATTGAACTATACTTGTTTTTCGAATTACAAAAAAACAATTTTCGATTCAAAATTGAAAATGTTATACATTTTATAAAATCAACACACAAAAATGTTGAGATTGAGAAGAAAACAATTTGTTTTAAAAATACGCTCCTTTGTTATAAATAGTTTTATTTGCTCAAAAACATATTTTCAATATTATTTCAATGATGCGAAGAAATTTGTAACTTTTCTTGAAATACAAAAATAAACCGAACCTTTATTCAATCAACAACCATTTTTACTCAACAACCTTTTTTACCATGACTATAATTCATTTTTTATTAATTAAACAAGTCTAATAATTTATAAAACAAAAAAATCTTAGATAAATATAGTTTAAATTAGAAAATATTCATTATTAACAATCATTAAGTTTAACACTTAAATATGGTGTTATTTATATTGATGTGTTTTATAGGGATATTTAATATTTTTTGGCGTTTTTCCATTTTTTTGGCTGTGTGTTGTAATACAAATTATAAACTTTTAAATACAGGGAAAATATGTTATAAACTCGAAATTTCCCGATTTTTATAGACTTGAATTTAGTTCAATGTAATTTTAAGTGTTAACCCAAAATAAGGAGTTTTTTGTTTTGGGTGTTTTACTTTTAGATATATTATATCATAGAACCAACTATACATGTGTAATGCATTTCAAGTTTTCTCAGATTTTAAATGTGAAAGAATGAGAAGTTGAGTGGAACGAAACGACATTTAAAGAGGGAAAAAAGAAGTAAAAAATATAGTGTAGCAAGAAAAGTGAATTACTTTTTAGCGAACACTTCCTGGATGAAGAGCTCGTATCTAATTTCTTCGTCGTTGTTGGCGCTCTTGACGATAGCGAGGAATTCGTTGATCTCGTCAGGGGTCAGTGGTTTACCAATGTTCTTGAGGAGCGTGACGAATTTTGCCTTATCGATGGTCTTGTCTTGTTTTGGGTCGAATGTCTCGAATGCCTGGGTGAGACCGGCTTGGTTTGACGTTTGTTTCATTTTGTCGGACATCATCGAGACAAAGGTGTCACGTGTGATTGTTCCTGTTTTGTTTGGGTCTGCCTCGTTGAAGGCGTCGTCAATGACGTCTGATGGGAAGCCACGAACGGCGTAGGTGTTCAAGACACGCTTGAAATCATCACGCTTCAAATTTCCGTCAGGGGCTTTGATTGTGTCGAAGAAATCACCGAGCTCCTCAATCATCTCTGGGTCGGTCACTCCATCTTCCTGTCTTCTTCTTGATGCCTTCATTGGATTTTTCAGTTCCTTCCCCGTTCTCTTCCTCCTCTTATCTTCCTTCTCCCCAATTTACCCGTTCTTACAGCCTTGCTACTTCAAAAAACCTATTTTGGGGTGGAGTTGAAAAACGCAATCTAATTATTCATTTTTTAGTTTAACTGTTTTGCCTCAAAAACCTCCGCAATTTCCGGGGTCCCCTTTCTTGAAAATCTTTTTTGCTTTACTTGTCTTTTACTTCGTTCAAGATATTTATTTGTTTTTGTTTCAATAGTTTTAAATAAAACATATTGATACTTCTTGACCAAATTATAAAAGTATTTTTTTCTGAGGTGTTTTGAAATATTGTGATTAAATTTGTTCAATTATTTATCAACATCAATTTATAGCCTTTTTTTGTATTTTACAATATTTTTTTTTAATTATTATAATTTGTTTTATTACAACAATAAAACAAACATAATTTATTAATTTTTAATTATAACTAAAACCATACTTTTAAGTAATAACAATTAGAACATTTTACCATAAAATTTACTATAAAATTTCAAAAAGGATGATATAATAATTTAATAATATTAAATAAATCAACTATAAACAATAGTATCTCAAACTGATAAGCAAAGGTGGAATAAAAGATAATTTAAGGCGAGAAAAATGTGTGAAAGTCATTGAGGAATTGATATGCGAAGCCTTTACTATCGCCTTGCCGACATTCAGAAAACGTTAAAGTTCAAACGGGCGCTGTTGCAAACGCACTCGTCGTTTCCGTTGCGGAGCGGCGACATCGAGTTCTACGTTGACGGTGCCGAAGCGATGCAATCTGTTGCGGAGGCGATTTCAACAGCCCGACGGAAGATACACATTATGGACTGGAGAATGGACTTGGACATCACCCTTGTGCGTACGCCACATCCGTTACAGTCAAAAAAACTTGTTGATTTATTAGCTGCGGCTGCTATCAGGGGCGTTCAAGTTTCTGTTATTTTGTACAACTCGCCTTGGTTTTCGCACCTCACAGACAACAGAAAAACAGCGAAGATACTCAACAAACTCCACCCAAACATTACTTGCATTTGTAAACATTGGTCGCTGATTTACTCCAACCACGAGAAGTTGGTCATTGTCGACAACAAAGTCGCATTACTTGGCGGAGTTGATTTGTGCTTGGGGAGGTATGACAACATTTTCCATCACATCACACCAATGGTCAGAGACGCTCCAAACGGTGCATTGCTCTTCCCACCAGCAGATTACAACAACATTCAAATTCCAAAAACAAACCGATTTCAATATCCAAGAATGCCGTGGCATGACGTGCACTGTAAAGTTGATGGAGAAATTATCATGGATCTCCAACAACACTTTTTACAGAGGTGGCAATTCTATGGCGGCGAGATGCAGACGGCACCAGCGCAGAAAAAGAAAGGTGGCGTTTCTATGAGGTTTTGTCAGTCATCATGCAAATTGTCAGGAGGAAAAAATGAGTGTAGTATATATGGCGAGATGCTCAAATTGGTGAGAAAGGCAAAGCGGTTCATTTACATCGAGCAGCAGTACTTTTTGTCAAACTCGGGAAAGAGGAACATATCGAACAAAATTGGAAGGGAGATTGCAAAGAAAATTATCGAAGCCGCGAAAAAGGATGAAAAGTTCTTCGTTATCATTGTACTTCCGCTTTTTAGTGAAGGAGAGCTCAAACACAAATCAGTGAGAAAGATGGCCGAATACACAAGACTGGCACTATACGATGGTGTTGGAGGGATAGTGAGTACATTACAGAAAAATGGAATTGACGACTGGCAGAAGTATCTTAGTGTCAACAATTTGTACAACGTCGGGTGGTGCGAGAAGCTTGGAGTCACATTGAGTCAGATATACGTACACTCAAAATTGATGATAATCGACGACGAATTCATGTTACTTGGATCTGCAAACATCAATGACCGATCACTGAGAGGAGACCGAGATACTGAAATTGCGATTTCAATTGAGGAAAACGAGAAAGTGAAATTGGTGTTTGACAAGACTGAGGTTTTGGGGGGGAAAGAGATCAGCGATTTGAGGAAACGTCTTTGGAAAGAGCACCTTGGTATTTCAGACAACCTCGAGACTTTGGTTGAGGATCCGTTCACTTGTTATGATGAACTGTGGAAGAAAATAGCCCAAGACAATCGAGATATCTTGGAACAGGTTTTTCCTTTATTTCCACGAAACGCGTTCACAAAGTACATTGATACAGAACTCCATACCCACCCAAAGGCTGTTGAAAATCGGATACCAATGCTCCTCAAGTTACAGGGTCACCTTGTGAAGAACGCGCAGCTTTTTGGCTCGAAAGAGCACCAAAGGAGTTATGGACTGACGGCTATAGTCACCTAACACTGTTTGTCGCTGTTGTAATGCGCTTCTTATCAGTGCCCAGTTAATCGTATTTTTATTTCAAGTTTGACAACGACACAGAAGTACTCAATCTAAAATCAATTATTCGTTGCTCTCGCCATCGTCGCTGTGAGCCGTTTTTCCTTTCTTACCAGATCTTTTCTCGCCCTTCTTATTGTTACTCTTCTTTTCTGCCTTCTTTGGTATTTTCTTGTCTTTATATGGGCAGTCCTGTGAGGTGTGGCCTTGTTGTTGGCAGATAAAACATCCAATTTGTTTTCTTTTCTCTTTTTTAGCGGCACTCTTATCTTTGTTATACGCGATTTTGATTCGTTGTGACTTTCTGTCCTTCTTTCTTTGCTGGAGAAGTTCTTCTTTCTTTTCTTCTTTGTCTGCGAGAGTCGCTGGATCCACAAATCCACCATTGTCTTCGTCATCATCTTCTTTATTTTCGTCGTCAATCGGAGTCACTTTAGGCTGTTTTTGACTCTCACTCTCCTCTTCCATCTTCTCGACTTTGGCTTTTTTCAATTTGGGGACTTTGAAGCTTATCTTTTGGTTTCCAATTTTGTAGTTATTAAAACGAGCGTCGAAGTTCAAGACAGAAAGGTAATCCTTCAGAACAACGTCAGCAATTCCTTTTGAATCGCCAGCCTTTGTTAAAATAAATTCCACATTTTTTGGTCGGTACTGTTCAAAGAGTGCTTTAAATCCATCTTCTCCAAGTATCACTGGCACGTTTCCAACGTACACGATTGTCTGACTGACGTCATCGTGCTGAATAACTACTTTAAGTTCGTTGCCTTCAACTACTTTCCCGTTCATATCTGTAACAATCCGATTCGCTTCTGTCGTGTTACGAGTGTAAACTCTGCCATACCCGTAACTTTTGTCTGCCGACCATGTGCGAATAGTCACACTGACAGGATCAAAGTTATATTGGTGAATCTTCGCGTTAAGGTCGTCTAATGTCACTGTTTTGTCCAAGTTGGTGATCTTAAGACTGAACCCTTCCATTTGCTTTTTAGTGGATGTGATGCACTCTTCACTCTTTTTAGGGTTCACTTCTGGGGTCAAACATGTTGTTTTTAACGGATCGTTTTTAATTGTTTTTATTTTTATATAGAATTTGCTGTCATAATAAAGCAATTAGATTCCGATATAATTTATTTGATGTCTTTGGTTGTTGTTATATTATTAATTGTATAATATATATAATTATAATTAAACTAAAACTATTAATTGTTTTTAAATAATTGAATTTGTTATATAAATTTATTATAATCAAATGACTTATAAAAAATGGAATTAGAAATAATAGTTTAAAAATCCATTTTCAAACTTCTTTTCATTATAATTAACTCTAGTTATTGTTAATATATTTTAATTATTAATTACTAATTATTATATAATTCTTGATATAATTTATTTTGTTAAATATTACTAGTTTCCCAAAAGTGCATAAAATTAAAAAACAATGCAAATGAAACACAGCAATTAATAAAAAAAGACATTTTTGTTTCTATTGAACTCAAAAGCAATAACAGGGTTTTATTTATTGCAAAGGAACAAGAAAATTGACTGTGTGAATGAAATACTGTGCGATCCAAATATCGAACATCCCGAAGGACACGACTGACGAAACACTAGCATCATTCATGAGTGAGTGTAAGCCAAGTAGTGCCCGTCTTCTCCGTCTTTCTCATGATCAATTTTTCAACAAGGGTTCAGTGGAGGCGCCGACTCCCGAGGTAGCAGCCAAAATCATCGAAGAATTAGATGGAAAATCCTTTAAGGGGTGGGTTATATCTGTCAAATACGACAAGACGGATGATAAAAACAAAACCCTACTTTTTATTGGAAACGTTCCTGAGACTTTCACACACGAAAAGTTTTCAAAGCTCTTTGAACCATATAACCCCGTGTCTCTTTCCTTCGAAGAGAAGCACGTTGGTGATCTTCGTGGGATTGCTTATGCTGTCTACCATACTCGAGAATTAGCGGAGAACGCCGTCGCTAAATTGAACGGGAAAGAATTGGGCTCTCAAGTCGTGAAAGTTGAGATCTCAAACACAGCAGTCGCTCGGACGAACATCCGTTTCCTGCACGAAGCCGAAGAACAAAAATTGCAGGAAAAGGAGGCAAAGAAGTCGCGAATTACTAAGGAAAGAGAACAGAAGGCTAAAGAAGAAAAGAAAAAAGCAGAGCAAAAATGTTTCATTTGTGGCGAGGCGGGGCACATGAAATATCATTGCCCATACGTCGTGTCCGTGAAAAAATAAGATTGAGTTTAATGAGTGTCTTCTCTTTTTTTTATTTATTCAATTTCGTTCACTTTCTGACACAAATTCCCTGTCATAAACGAACGCTTTTCGTTTTTTGAAAATTCAAAACACAAAATTCGTTCATTTCAAAAAAAAAATCAGTGTTATTTTACTCAGAAGATGGTGAATCAAGTGGACGATTTGTATTTTTTGAATTTTTTGAAATATTTTAAAAATTTTTTAAAAAATTCAACATAAAACTCAATCACTCTTTCTTACTCTTTTTTTTGGTGTTTTTTCGTCTTTTTTTCAGTCACTTTATTTGGGCATTCTTTAGTTAAATGTCCCGTAGATTTACATATAAAGCACTTATGTTTTCTTTCTTTCTTTGGTTGGATTTGTTCGTCTTCAGAACTTTCAGTTTTTTTCGGGTGATTTTGAGGCTTCTTTTTATTAGACTTGGATGGATCGGAGACGACGACGCGGAGGACTTTGCCGGCTAATTCTTTTCCGTTCATATCAAGTGCTTTCAGAGCACTTTCCTTGTCATTAAAAGTCAAATTAGCATTACCAGCGGATTGACCAGCTTTGTGTTTGGGAGGGTCTAAGAGGACGCTTGTTGTTTTGAAAGGTTTAAAAAGGTCAACGAACTGTTCTTGTGTGTATGTTGATGGGAGATGGGTGACAATTAACGTCGTCTCACTCAGTTTGTCTGAAATTGGGCGCGATATTTTAAGCCGATGCCCTTCGATGATTCGACCACTCACTTGTTGTTGGATGTGTTGGACTTCTTCGACACTCTCCACTTCGACTTTACCCTTCTGCAAATATTTGGTAACGTCAACTTCATTCACTTTGCATGTAACTGGTGAGTACGACGAGAAAAAGGACGACAGCTCTTCGCTCGTCACAGACTCAGATAAATTGCTCACATATATCTCGTTCATAACTTTTTGTTTTAAAATTGAAGAGTTGTGGTTTTTTCTTCTATTCATTTGCTTTCGAAAAAACCCTCTTCTTTGTCTCGAACCGCAATTTCTTTTTATAGGATTATAATTTTTTTGATTTTGGTCTTTTTATGCGTTTAAATATCTTTTTTATTTTTTTTCTTCCGATATATGTATTTAAATGCATTATAGTTATAGAACTATAATTAATAATATATTTAATCTATAATATATTTTTTATTTTAGAAGTTATAATAAATATTGTTATTATTTGTTATTAAAAACAAATAATAGAATAAAGTTAACATTTTTTTTATTTTTTTTGTGTTTTCCAACTTTACATTTAAAGATAAAAATTAACACGATTGTTAAAAACAAAATGGTGAAGACTTATAAATAACAAAAAATGTATTTGAGTGATTTAAATATTACATTTCATAAGTTTTTGTATAAACAATAGTTAATTAAATTAAATTATATAGAATAACAATTTACTTTTATTTATAATAAATTTAATTACTTAATAGAAGTTTTTACCCAAATAGAAACAACTATAAACAAATGATTATTAAACTATAATTAAACTATATCATTATTTCTTTTTTGTTTTGGAGATAAAAAAACTCTAAAACGTAGAATGTCACGACAAAAGGTAGTTTTGTGTGAAGATCCACGCAACAAAGATCGTAAATGCGTTCCGGAAGAGGACCACAAACGCGGTCAGATATATTGTGTGTATTGTGGGCGTGTTATTGACAAAGTTCTCGACGAAGGTCAGGAGTGGAGGTCATTTGAGTTTGTTGAGTTGTTGGATGTGTTTGTATTGGCACCGAAGTGACGGTTAGTGGTGATAATTCCCGAAATCGACTTTTCTACGCCACAGCAGGACAGGACACTGCTTCCATGTTAAAAGGATGTGCGTCGACCTCGCAACAAACAAGTGCTCAGAACTCGAAGATGAATGAGTTCCGTCGTGAGTTCAATGACTACTTCCAGAAAATTTCGCTGTCACAATCACAAACGGACCACGCAATGAAATTTGTACAAGAGCTCTACACTTTACACGCAGCAGAAATACATGGGAAGAATAAGAAGAAGATCATCGAAGGGGTTGTGATGATGGTTTGCAAAGAAGAGAACTGCGGCTTCTCTTCTGTTGTTATAGCTAAGCAACTTGGTTGGATCGACAGCGAGGTCATGAAGAACTACAAGTGGATCTCGCGAGTCCTCAAGAAGTCAACTTCAGACAACTTTGAGGCGATGATAGAAAATTATTGCCGGGAGATTAAGGTCGGCCAGTTGACCATTAAGTGCCAGGAAATATCCGAGCTTGCGAAAAAGATATTAGACGGGAAAAAGCCAGCCACAATTGCTGCTGTCGCTATTTGTTACGTCGCAGAGAACCAAGGAATGCTCAACCAAGACCTCGAGATGAGAATAGCCGCAACGTGTGGCGTCAGCGTTGCTAACATGAAACAGGTTTACAAAATGCTTGTTGAAAAGAAAGAAACACTTGATCAGATCCTTGCCAAAGCGTAATTATTCATTGTTCTCCTGTATTTCCTTTTTGTTTGACTGTTTATTACAACTTGGTGAAAGAAACAAGGTGGATGTGGATTTTTACTGACATCATTTCATCAATTTTTTTATAAGTGCGTTTTTAATTTTTAATTAATTTTTTTTATTTATAAAAACGTCCGTTATAATTATTATTTTGTGGGTTGACTTTTTTTTTCGCTTTGTATGTCCACTTTGTCGATTTCTTTTCTCATGAGAAAGTCGTCAACTGATATGTACAAGATGAGTGATTCATCACAACAAGACGTTCTGGTTTCCTCAAAACTAGTATTGAACAGCATGAATTTACTCAGAACACTTCATAACTTTGAAGTTCCACAGTCTTTCCAGAGTGGTCAAACTTGCTGTTGGTGTGGTCTTGAGATTGACAAGGCCCATATCGTGGAATGTTCTCTTTGCCACCAAACCTTCCACGACTACTGCAAGTCCTCTGTTTTTTCTCCCTGTTATGTTTGTTCATTCCGCCATATTCAATTTCGCAAATTGAGTGAATTTCACTCTGTTTTTCAGATAATTATTACTAAATAGTTTTTTTTATAAATATTAAACTATACTATTGCACGATCTTGTTTGGGTCAATTTTGGATATGAAATTACTTATTTATCTATTATTATTAGTAAACAATTAATAAAATACTAGTTTCTCAATTGACGTCAAGTGTGGACCACTCTTTCCGATGGAAACTCCGTATTATCACAATCTTATTCCAACAAATGAGAAAGGATTGTGCAGTGTATGTCGCAAAATGTCAGGTCCGCTCATGAAGTGCACAAAATGTACGTTATATTTCCATGAAAAGTGCACATTATGTTCACCACCTCTTTGTAGACAGGCTTCCCTCCCTGTTGACTTTTACACTCATTATCTCGTCTCCACATCCCGGGGAAGATGCTCGGTCTGCGGGAAAGTTATCCAACCTAACCAACAAAGTGTGGGTTATCACTGCATTTATTGTGAGGACCAGTTCCATAGCACTTGTGTATCGGCGACTCTTCCGATCTCGGTACTGCGATGCCCCCGCGACAAACTTGGTCTTTCAAAGTACTTAGTCCACCCTTCTGATATCCGCCAAGACGTTGTAATTCAACGAGAATCACAAACTCCGCTGATTTTCGTCGTCAATGAAAACTCGGGAGGGTCACGAGCCAAACGCGTGTCCTCTTTATTCGAGAAGTACTTTTCTACCTCTCAATTCGTTCTGATTCAAAACATTGACTTTGCTGCTAATAGGTTTGGAAACTATATTAATGGTTCTTCAATCTCAGATAAGATTGACAACAATCTCGTTGTCATAGTATGTGGAGGTGACGGATCGATAGAGGCCTCTATCGATCACTTTGGCCCATATCAAAAGTACTTAATTCTTCCATATGGCACAGGGAATGACTTAAGTCGGTCGTTAGGATTTACTCCTGATGAGATTTTAGATACGATTGAAGAGAACGGTCTGTCTGCTCTCCGCGAAGTATTGAAGTTACCGACTGAATTTGTAGACCGCTGGGTCCTTCAAGTTTCGAATTACAAGTTCGGGAAGAATGAGGAATTCAGAGATTTCCGGAGATTTACGAATTATTTGAGTGTCGGAATGGACGGAGCAGTAGCACAGAAATTTTCAGAGAGTCGGAGCTATGGACCGAGTGGACCTTTTCTCAACAAGTGTCGATACGCGCTCAGCTCAACAGCGTTACTCGACAATTATTGCTTGGACATCGATACTAAAGTGTTGTTAGAACTCGACGGAGAGGATGTTGAGTTACCTCCAATGGACTGTTTAGTATTCATGTCGAGCGTTACGTGTTATGGAGGACAAAGACTATTAAAAAGTTCGGAAGAAGCACAAAAGATGGACGACGGAATAATTGAAATATTTTACATCAAAGGATCGTTGGAAATGGGAAGCGTCTCGGTCGGAATGGCGAAACCGACACTCCTGGCAAGAGCAAAAGACATTGTATTGACAATTAAACCAAATTTCGTTCTGCCATTCCAATCTGATGGAGAACCTTTTTTACTCCAAAATGCAGTGATACATTTGTACACAGAAAGTCAAATCCTTTTTTTCTCAGAAAGAAAAAAAATGACGTCAGACTAGGACGGTGAATGAAACTCTAATTTATTTTTAGTATTTTTATTACAGACCCTGGAAAAACCGACCGGCAAACTATAAAAATGGTTTCTGAAAACTATTTAATAGTTTTTTCAATAAAAATTTTGAAAAAAAAGACAAAAAACAAAAAAACTATAATATATTATAAATTATTCTATGCCGGTCTGTTTTTCTGTGAGAGTATGTTTTTCTGGGATCTGTCGTTATGAATTCATGACTTTAAATGCTATATTTATACTATTGATAGTCCCATTTTCATTAACTATATATTAATAATTGTATATATTAATTAATAATTAAGTTATTTTAGAATCATTGTTTATTCTTTGACAGAACTATTTTGAATTAATAATAATTAATATCAATAAATTTGTTACTAGATTCATAAAACAATACTATAATTTATAATAAAATAACAATTTAAATGTGTATTATCATTGATATTAATAGAACTCATTTTAATTTTGTTTATTACCAAAACAAAGTACTAAAATTCAATAATAAAAGTTCTATATATAATAACTATTAAATCATGTTTTTCTTACAAATTACAAAAACGAATTCAAAATAAAATGTAAAACAATTGTTTTACTTTTTACAACTTTTTTTCAACAATTGAATTAAAAAGAACTATAATGAAACTATTTTGAATTATATAATAATTATTATATAATTAAGTATATTAATATATAAGCCATATTTGTCGAAACCGAAATGTTATTTATATTCCCACCATATTTTTGTCGCAACGATCCCGATGTTTGCGATAGAAAAAAAGAACACACCAAAAGAATTTCCCCTTTTAGTGAATAAGAGTAACAAGACAGGAATTATAATTATTATTATAATTATTATTATAATAAACAAAAACATAGAAAACAACAAGAAATTTGAAAGAAAAATTTTGCAAATTTACAATTTCATATAAATAGAAGTGTTCAACAACTGAATACATAAGAGATGTTGTTTCTCACACTAATCGCCTTAGCGTCAAGTCAATACATTTTTGAAGCCGTCAATTCGAAGGTCTATCGTGCCTACAAGTCTGGGGAGTGTTACTATTACAGCGCCAAATGTCACAAATTTGGCATTTCAAATTCTGCAGTGACTCTTTCTGAAGGGTCCAGTTGCAATGATGATGACCTCACAGCAGTGACTGTTCCAGCTAACACTTACACTTTTGGAGATCACATTCCCGTCTATGATTTCAATGACACTTACTATGAGAATTCCGTCTGTGAAAACGTCATACAAAACAGTCTTCCGGTGACAACTTATTACATGGCCGAATGCGTTCCTTCGACTAACAAAAAAGATTCCGTGAAGTATGAATTAACCAAAATTGCTGTGACTAAATACACTTACATAGGCAATACTAAGTGTGGTAACACTCCAAAGGAGACCGTTAGTTATGAATACAACGCCTGTATCTCAATTAATTCAACTCGTAATATCTTAACTAAAGAAGATGGGTATGATAAGAGACATCCAGATAATAACAACGACAGCGCTGTCTCTTTTTCACTTCTCGCACTCTTGTTCCTTGCCTTCACACTTTAATTCAATCATCTCATTGGTTCTCTGTTACTTTCAATACACTCATCAAGTTGATTAGTTAATTAGTAATTAATTTACTAGTGTTAACTGGTTACTAGTAATATATAGTTAAGAATAATAAATATTTAATATTTAGTTAGTAATAATAAATAATAACTAGTTAAGAGTAATAATAATAATAAATAATAAATAATAAATAATAAATAATAAATAACAATTAGTTAATAGTAATTTGACTATTGAACTATGACTCTTGAGAAAAGAACAAGAGCCTTTTCTTTTCAATTAAATTATAATAATAAATAAATTAATTATATAAAGGTTCACGTTGATATTCTAAGTGCAGTCATTTTAACTCAAAAAGTTAAACAACAAATTACAAGTTACAAATTACTGTGATTTGGGAAAGACTGTGACAAAGTACTTTTGAATGGAAGACAAGGACTCTCCACTGACTAATAATCGTTCAAAAAGTATTAAAAAGCGAAGGACCACAATTGAGTATTCTGAATGTTCGAGAAGGGAAGTGCGGAGGTCATAAGCGACATTGACGTATTTTTCATAGCCAAGTTCTTCATACGCGAAACGCCAAAATCCTTTGTTGATGTCATTATCAAGCGGAGCGAAAATGTCGGTTGTCAGAAAACTGAACGAAACACAGACGAACGTCCGCTGAGATATACCCCGTTGAAATAGATTGAAAGATTCTTGAATAAAACACCTCACTAACGTGTTTAATTCATTGGGAGGAGGTCGGAGTTGTGTACTCGATGAAAGAAGTTCACCAAGTTTGATATCTATGGATTGCATTGTATACTACCATAACTTTCAAGTTGTAGTTTTAAATATTATTTATTTTATTAATGCGTATCATCAGAACAAAATGCATATTTTGAAATTTTGCCTTCTTTTTACTATAATTTATAGTTCATTTTAAATAAAAGTAGTATTATTGATTTTTCAACACCAAAAATGTATTGTATTAAAAAATATTAATAAATTATAAAAACTTAATTATACAGTCTTAATTAATTTATGAGAAATGACACAAATCCCGATAAAATATGTCAGACAATAGTAACTGACCTAATTTCTTATGGACTGATGTCAGTGCATATGGTGTTTTGTCAGTGAATATAAATAAAAACTATATTATTGGTTTGTATAAACAATAATTAAACTATTGACCCAAGATTCAAAAATTACTTTTATAGTACTTTTAATTCAAAATAACCATTATATTTTCCAACTTAATAACGCTTTTTATTGCCCAAAAATACAAAACCAAAATACCATTTTCGATTAATCAAAAGAATCAATTACGTCTTGCAAATCCCATCCATCATTTCTTATCATAGCCATTATTTTACGAACTGCTTCTTGTGCTTTCATAGGCAACGTTTGAATAACTCCTGGCAAATGGTACTTTTCATTTATTAAATAAAAATGAACATCTCTGAGTGGATATGCCAACACATGATAATTTAGAATTCCATGACACAAAATGGTAATTGGTTCATATTTTTCAATTGATAAACCATATGTATCTCGCATAATTCTGAAAATGGTTACAAGCCTGCCGAACACGTTTTCTATTATTAGTCTTAGTGAAGAAACCACCGTGTCGTGTAACTTTACCACGTTGTGGTGTATTTCATCTTCATTTTCATCATATTTCCACATTGATATGACATTGGGATGACCTCGATAACCACTGTCACCTAAAATAAATGTGTTTTTTTATCTCTAATGATTCATCAAAATTTTCTCGAAAAACAACTGCATCGTGATAAGATGCGGGAATTGATGTTATCAAATGGGTTACAATGCCCAGGTAGGTGCAATATATCTTTGTTTTTAAACCACAGTGGTTCTTTTTTTGGCTATAGAAAACACCATTCCACACTTCTTTGCCATCAACAATTTTGAATTTATTTAGTATCGACTGCTCCCTGCCATCAACCGCAAAATAGCACTTGTCGAGTGCTGGTATTATATCCACAAATTTTTTCTCTTTACCAACAGAAAAAGGACGTAATACTTCTGAACAATTTTGCAAAGAATTGATATAATTACGCTTGCAGTTATTTACAAATAAATTTAGACCTTTATCAATTGCATTTCCAATACTTTTATTGACTCTATCCAATGCAGTTTTGTTGATTTCACTGCTAACAGAAAATAGAGCGTCTGCGTATTTAATTTGCATTTTTAACAACAAATAAATGTTGAAATAACTTTCGTTTTTGTGGAACAATGTCAACATAATTAGTAAAATTTCAGCAGTTTTTAATTTACAACGTTTGTTATGAGCCAATACTGCTGAGCTGTTTCTTTTCTCTGACCATGTTGCCACTTTCACTCCTCTTCTATCTTTAAAAGAAAAAAATGTAATTTCCGAACACAAAATAGAATGTATTTCTTCGAAATCTGGGATTGAAAATTCAGTCATATTTTTTATTGTTGATGAATTGAGAACAACAATATCAATAATTACTTGAGGTTGTGGTATTATGAAAGAATTTGTAAATACCGTGTCTAATATAGTTGGATTGTTTGTTATCCTTCTTATAAAACTTTCTTTGTCTTCCAATACAAGTGTTTGATCAGCTCTTCTGAAATATCCAGCTCTTATTTCCCGATAAGTTTCAGAGTTTCTTCTTCTTTTGGTATTGGTCAATTGTGTCCCTCTTGTTGTACCTAAAGATACTCTGGAAGTTTCGGTATTGGTCAATTGGGTGTTTCTAACATCCATTTGATTACTTGTAATTGTGGTTCCAGTGTTGTGTGTCAAAACTGTTGTTTGTAATGTAGTAAGAGGCGACTGCTGAACATTTTGTATACGTATTGTTGTGCTCCTTGGAACATTAGCTGGTCTAGGAGCTGTTGGATTTGGTAGTCGGAGTGGTCGTGTTGGTCTCATATGTTTTTTGTTTTGTATTTTTGAACAATAAAAAGCGTTATTAAGTTGGAAAATATAATGGTTATTTTGAATTAAAAGTACTATAAAAGTAATTTTTGAATCTTGGGTCAATAGTTTAATTATTGTTTATACAAACCAATAATATAGTTTTTATTTATATTCACTGACAAAACACCATATGCACTGACATCAGTCCATAAGAAATTAGGTCAGTTACTATTGTCTGACATATTTTATCGGGATTTGTGTCATTTCTCATAAACTAATAACCAATTAATTAATTAGGAAGATTAAGTAGCATTATTAGGATTTTTTATCTTAAACCCGATTTGTTGCCATTTGTCTCTTTGATTTATTTTAAACAATAGGGAAATTTATTTAGTATCATTTCTCCTTTTTAATTTTGATTTCTTATAAATATTTGTTTTTGCTAACTAGAATTTAAGTAAAAATCAAAAAATAATGATTTTAGTGTGTTTCAAAATGATTTAAAAATCATTTTGCAACAATTTTTTTATCTAATCGTTGAAAAAAATAATGTTGTCTGATTGATGGTTTACAAAGTATTTCAAATTATTAACGATTTTATTAAAGCAAATTAATATTCATAAAATTAATTAACTAAGATTATATTAATGATTATTAAATTCAACTCTTTTAGTATTATATTAATAAATTATTAATAAATAAAAAATTGTTTTTTACTCTCATTATTAAAGAGTTTACTATAATTATTACAATTAATAAAATATACATTTGAGAATGGATAGCATATTAAGTTGCCCCAATATACCACAAGCAATAAAGATCACAAGCCAGGTCCATTCCCAAATACATTGTCGCACGGTCTTAGAAGGGAATTAATAGAAGTAAAACCCTGTGGAACCATGCTTTGGTATTAACCGATCATTATTGGTTTAAATACACCACACTAAACCCTCACTTTATTAGATACTATTGTTAATCTATTAATCTTATTATTTACATTTGTTAAATAAAAACCTAAGAAACTGGTTTGATGATAATAAATATTATATAAATAACAAAAAATACTAATAACATAATACTTGTTTTTAACTAAACTTTATTAACTATTTATATCATAATACATATATAAACTAATTAATTATCAAATTAAAAAAATATTTTGTATTCAAAAAAATTTGACAACATAAAACTAATCATTTTGTTTTTAAAATCTTCACTTTCATTTTTTAATGTATTAAATTTACATGAATTATTCAATTAAACATTTATAGAGTAAGTTGTAAAACGTTGTCCCAGTCGCCAACGTCGTTCTTTTAGTCTTATTTGAATAAAAATTAGAACATTCTATGCATTTTTGTCGATTAAACAAAATTAATTTTTGTTTACCATTATTAATAATATGTTTAAATGATCCCGATTTTAAGACATATATCATTACAAATTAAAATAATTTTATCCAAAAAGCAAAAATCAAAAACACCATTTAAATAAAAACTTTAAACATTTTATTTTTTTTTCTGAGATTTTTTTGAACAATTGTAAAACTAGAAATTAAAAAACAAACAATATTATGTCGAACTCGACATCAACGACAACTCAAAATCATAGTTCACTTCCAGTGCATGTTTTTTCAAGAGCAATAAACATCAATTTTGATGGTGTTGATTTTTTAAAAATCAAGTCCATCGTAGAACAATGCAAAGAAGTCTCTGTTGTGAAGCTTGATCAATCACTTTCGAGATTGAAAGAATTAGAAAATACTTTGATGAGCAACATTAAACAGAGTTATTATGACTATAACAACCTTTCAAATTATCTATACACGAATTTAGACAGTTCTCTTATTTTATTCGAAGAGAGAATAGAAACCGCTTTGAAGATCATTGACTCTGCAAATATGATAATGTCATTGACTGGGCAGTTGAACTCGGTCAATACGCTGATAAAAACGTGTTTGTTATATTTAAAGCAGTGTCGTCATGACAAAAAGACTGGTTATGATCAGTTAATGGGAGTTTTTGATTGACGATAACCTTCCGATACCAGACCAAACCATTACAACACCATTAAATAATACAACGAACA